GGTGCGGCCCGGCAGGACCGAGAGCTTCGCTGCACCTGCCTCCGCTCCAGAGCTCGGGCGGCTCCTCTGCGAGGCCACCTTGTGGTGCAGGGCGGATCTGCAGCTTGAGGGGAGCTCCCCGGGGGCCGCACCACCCAGCCGGTGTCAGGGGCCTTCCGTGGGCAACAGGGTTTGGACCCTAAAACATGCCAGTTCTGTCTGCTGCTCCGATCTGGAACAAGAGCGTCAGTCTCATAGCAGCTACACGTTTGACACAAAAGCTCTCGCGTCATTTCACAGGCGGCGTGGAAAACAGTCTCTTTATGTCACAGGCACACAGAACCCACGTTCACCCATCGTTTTGTAATTAAATCTGGGACCGATGCCCCAGGTGGTCAGTTCAGGCTCAGCCAAGGTGCCGATCCCCCAGGGATGGTGGCAGCAGCCTGGGCCCTGGCCGTTTTCTTCTCCTGGGTCTCAGGGTGGGTCCTCTGTGAGCCCCGCCAGGACGTCCAGCAGTGTGAAAACTCTAGCAGTCTGGGAGGCATGAGTAACAAAGCCCCCATGTGGGTGACCTTGGGAGAGGGGTGTCCCCAGGACGGAGCCTTGTCTGAATGGGAGGCCAGAGCTTTCTCCTTATGGGGGCTGCTGAAGGCCCAGGGCAGGCACCAGCGCCGCCAGCCCCAGGACCTCTGGTTGGCAGCAGAATCCGTCCTCTGGCAGTGGCCCTGAGAGCTCCTGTTTCCTGTGGTCAGAGCACCTGGCAGGGGGCACCTGAGAGCAGGGTGGGGGCAGGGGGTGCCAGGGATGCCTGGGTGCCGGGGGAGCCGCTCCTGACAGAGATTCGAATGCTCGAGGGAACCCGGGGAGATGGGGTGGCCTCCTGCTGCCCTCTGACCTGCCAGGCGGGCCTCCTGGGAAGACAACCACCCCGGGACCATGGGCCCCCTGCCGCCGTGTGACCCTGCCAGCCCTCTGGTGCACTTGGTTACCGGGGCACCGGGCCTTGAGACCGTTGGGAGCTACAGGCGGGATGGGGAGTGAGGCTGCCCAGCAGATGTCTGATGGGGTGGGGCCAGGCAAGTGTCGCTTCAGAAGCATCTGGAACAAGGTGGTGGCAGGCCAGGCGATGTGAGGTCCCCTCGGCTACTTTGGGGTCAGTCAGGAAAGGTCTTTCCTTATGTAAGGAGCATTTTGCCTGTTGGGAAAACCAGCCTGAGGCCGGAGGCTTGGGGGGTTTGTTCTGACCACAGGGAAGAAACCGTTGGCTGGAATCGTGTTGGCGCGAGGGGTCTGGGGACGTGGACTCTCCAGGGCGTGCCGTGCTCTAAGGCCTGCTCCCCCAGCTTCTCAGGGCTCCCCCAAAACCCAAACCTCCACTGCTGCTGCCACCCAGGAGGGGCCTGGGTGTCTCCCCAGAACTGGGGATGGACGCAGACCCAGCTGAACCCACAGCCCTCACGACACCTGACAAAAGAGACCTTCTCTGGAAGGTGACAGGGACACGGTCCTGTCTTATCAGCCTCTCCTGAGTTGCCTCCCTGCTGTCCCCGAGGTGATGACATCTGTACCTGCCTGGTTGTCTGGGGCAGATGCTGGCGCCCCTTCCTTGCCTCTGAATGTAAAAACACTCTTGCTGGGCACTGGGGAGCCGTGTAGACCCACCCACGAATGGGGCCAATCCGAAAGCTGGCACCCTGGGGCCGTGGGAGGGTCCCGGGGAGGGCTAGAGCTCACTGCGGGAGCCCCAGCCTTGTCCACAGCAGAGTCCCAGGATGGCTCCTCCCAGGACTTGGTTTAGAAACCACCTCGCTGACCACCAGCCCTGGGCACTCAGGATAGTGGGACCGACCCCACACCTTCTAGGGGGTTCCCAGTACTGAGGTGGGGGAGAAAATCACACACCTTCCCAGCTCCCAGAGTTGATGCGTGGGCTGAGGGTGGGAATCCCACACCCTCCCTGGGGGTCCAGTGCTGAGACGTGGGCCGGGGGTGGGGGTCCCAGGCACTGGTGAGGTGGGGTTAGTGTAGAGGTGTGGGCGGTGGAATCTGCTCCTTTCCCTCCTGGGGGTCCAGTGCTGAGGCCGATGGGCAGGGGCAGTCTAAGTGCTGGGAGTGTATGTTTGAGGAAGGATCCCCACCTAGGGTCCCAATCTTTTGGCAAAGGTGCAGGCCGGGGTGGGGAATCTCCCAGTGCTGAGGTGAGGCTGAGGTGAGGTCCAACCCTCCCTGGGGGTCCAGTGCTGAGACGTGGGCCGGGGGTGGGGGTCCCAGTGCTGAGGTGTGGGCTGGGGGCGGGGAGGATCCACACCCTCCCTGGGGGTCCCAGTAGTGAGGTGTGGGCCGGGGGTGGGGGTCCCAGTGCTGAGGTGTGGGCTGGGGGTGGGGTCCCAGTGCTGAGGCGTGGGCTGGGGGCAGGGAGGATCCACACCCTCCCTGGGGGTCCTGGTGCTCAGGTGTAGGTGGGAGCCCTGGAGCTCACCGCCCAGGACAGCTCAGGCAGCTTGGAAGGAGGCAATGGCAGTGGAGGCGAGGGGGCCGCTGTGGCCCCTCCTGGGCAGGGCTGGGGAGGCATCAGGAAGCGACTCTGGGAGAAGCTGGGTCGGGCCAGGGCTCCAGGGCTGTCCCTCCATGTGCTCGGCGATGACTCCAGGCTGGTGTCACTGTGGATGGGGATGCATTGGGGCTGCCTCCCACATCCCCTGTGGGGCTCTCAGCTCCCAGCACCCCCAGTGCTGAGCGGGAATGGCCTCATGTGGTGGGGCGAGTGACCCTGAGGGACACAGTGGCCACCTCTCCTTCTCAACACCCACTTCAGCTCATGGGCCCGGAAGTCTGGAGAAATGAGAACTCGTGTTCTCCGTCCAAATGAAACCTTTGTGTCTGCTGGTGAAGCCCATGAGGCCTGATTCAGACAGAAGCATCACGCTGCCTGGGAACAGGTGTTTCCTAACCCTGCCTTCTGGAAATCAGAGCCAAACCCCAGTGTGGACAGAAGGCCAGAGAGAGAGGTGCCCAGGTCCAGCTGGTGTGGATGTAACTCGGCGGGCCTCTTCTGGCAGCAGGAAGCCTCTGTTTCCCAACGGGGCTGGCTCCAGGATGGTCTGGCTGTGCATGTGAAACTCAAAAAACAGAAAATGAGGCCAACGAGCCCCATGGGTTAAATAAAAAGCAGGAGCAAAATGGCCTCCCAGGGCTGGGCGCCTCCTTTCCCACAGGCACCTCAGCCCTGCAGGGTGGCCTTTGCATCTGCCCAGACCAAGCCGCAGGCTGCAGGGTCCCGGCCGTGGGGATGCATCCCACAGCCCGACGGGTCGTGAGGCTCCCATGGGGCTCCCGTGGGGCTGCTGTGGCTCCATTCCCACATCCAGGCTCCATGCTGTCAGGAAAGAGAGAGACCCATCTTTTGACTGGAGGCTTGTGCCAGCCCAGATGGGAGGCACCAAGGTCCTGGGAGGCCCAAGGACATGTTCAGGATGGTACAGTCACTCCTGCTGGCCCTGCTGGACTGGGTGTATCCCCAGCCTTGCTCCCCAGTGGGTTGGCCACAGGCATAAACTGTGCCCCTGCACCTGGGCCCTGCCCCCTGCACACCTGGGCCCCCAGCAGCCTCCTCGTCCACAGCCTCTGACCAGGCACAGACGCCTTCTGATTTGAGGCAACACTCTCAAAGTGGCTTTCACGGGGGAAATGGCATTTGGGTTCCTGAGGGACCTGTCCCTGGCAGTGCCAGAGTGAGGCTAGAGCCTGGGCAGCCTCTGGGGCTGTGTGATGGTGGCTGTCCACACTCAGGACGCAGAGGTAATCGACTTCTGTGGGCACAGCCCCTGCCTCCGCGGGGAAGTGCTGTGTGCATGATTGTACTTTATTATTATTTTTATTTATTTATTTATTTATTTTTTTTGAGACGGAGTCTCGCTCTGTTGCCCAGGCTGGAGTGCAGTGGCCGGATCTCAGCTCACTGCAAGCTCCGCCTCCCGGGTTTACGCCATTCTCCTGCCTCAGCCTCCCAAGTAGCTGGGATGGGACCACAGGCGCCCGCCACCTCGCCCGGCTAGTTTTTTGTATTTTTTTTTTAGTAGAGATGGGGTTTCACCATGTTAGCCAGGATGGTCTCGATCTCCTGACCTCGTGATCCGCCCGTCTCGGCCCCCCAAAGTGCTGGGATTACAGGCTTGAGCCACCGCGCCCGGCCGATTGTACTTTAAAAAAGTACTGCTTTGTTGGGATTTAAGTGACATACGATCCACTGCACATCTTTAAATCATGCAGTTTGACAACTCTGGACACAGAACAGACCTCTGAAGTGACTCATGCGGTCACCAATCCAGAGAGCAGGCCTGTCTGTGACTCACATCCTGCGGCCCCATTTGCTGCGACGGCTGCTGCTGCTTTAGTCTCGCCACTTGTTTTCTGTGTCACCCCCAAGTTCGTTCTTCCCTTTCCCTCTTTCTCTACATATTTTTGGACTGGACTTCTAAAAATTCCATTTTATCTCCTCTGTTAGTCTATTAAGCTGTAATTCTTTGTTAGTGGTTGTTTCAAGGGTTTATAAGTACATTTTAGCTTACCACAATCTACCTTCAAGTGATACCACCTCACTTCACATATCACATCCAACGTCTCCCAGCCTTCAGGCCACTGTGGTCACACAGTTCACCTATACGTATAGTACAAACTGCAGATATGTTAATATTTGTGTTTAAACAGTCAGTTAACTTTATTTTTAATAGAGGTGCAGTCTTGCCATGTTTCCCAGGATGATCCCCAATTCCTGGGCTCAAGTGATCCTCCGGCCTCAGTCTCCCAAAGTGCTGGGATTAGAGACATGAGCCACCGCACCCGGCCAAGCCACTCGTCTTTTAACCCATTTTCCGTTCAGAAACAAACGGACAAAAAAAACTGCAGCTCACTGCCAGCGCTCATTTCTTGGGGCAAATGGAAGATGGGTTAAAGGGATTTAAATAACAAGAGGAGAATTTTGAATGGTGCCCATGCTCTTCATTCTTCTTTTCCCTGAAGCACATCCTTTAATGTTTCTTGTAGTGCAGGTCTGCTGGTGACAAAATTATGTTAGCTTCTGTGTGTATGAAAATGTCTTTATGTCACCATTGTTTTGGAAAGATTTTGTCAGGTACAGAATGTGAATTTGGCAGTTTTCTCCTTAGTACATTCCACTGTCTCTCACCCGTGCTGCTTCTGAGGAGTCGGCCATCCTCACCAGCTTTGTGCCTCCCAACAGAACATGCCCTTGTCCTCTGACTGCTTTTAGGATTTTCTGTTTGTCACCGGTTTTATGCAATTGGATTATGATGTGCACTCATATCTCTTGTGTTTGGAGTTCACTGGGTCTAGGGGACTCCAGATTTACACCAGTGGCCGCCGGGTTCTCAGGCCTTTGGCCTCTGGCTGAGAATTATACCATTGGCTTCCCTGGCTCTGAGGCTTCAGGACTTGGACTGGGCTACACTAGCAGCTTCCTTGGGTCTCCAGCTTGTGGGTGGCCTATTGTGGGGCTCTTGACCTGCCAAAATTGTGTCAGCCAATGCCCCTAAGGCCCCTCTCATCTGTCAGTCTGTCTGTCTGTCTATCAATCATCATCTATCTCCTACTGGTTCCGTCTCTCTGGAGGCCCGACTAATGCAAATAGCTTCCACTGATGCATCTTCAAGGTGCCTCATGGTCTCTTCTGTGAAATCCAATCTGTTACCCCATCCAGGGTATTTCACCGTCAATATTGTAGTTGCTCATCCCTGTAAGGTCGGTCTGGGTCTTCTTAATCTCTTCCTTGTTATTTCTTAACTTTCTGGACGTCTGGGCTGTGGTTTCAGCCACAGTTTGAGTTCTGTGACTCTAGCACCGATGCTGGCTCCGTGTGGTTGCCTTTGCCGGGCGACTCTCCTTGATGTGTCTGCACTTGGCTGCTCCTCTGCACGCCTGGCATTCAGAGGTCAGGCACTGAGAGTTTACCTCGCAGGGTGTGGACACTTTGGTAACCTATAGATCGTCTGGAGCTTTGTTCTGGGATGGAGTGAATTACCTGGGAATGGTCTGATCATTTCAGGTCTTGCTTTTATGATTTTGTAGGTGGGTGAGGAGCAGGGCTCAGTCCAGGGCTAATTATCCCCACTCCTGAGGCAAGATTTTCTGAGAACTCCACCTAATGCTCACAGATCGCGAGTTTTCCCAGTCTGGCTGGTGGGAGAGGGTCCTGTTCCCAGCCCACGAGTACCAGAAATGGATCTTAGGTCTTTTCAAAGGTTTCTCCCAGCCTTGGTAGCCTCCCTGTCTGAGTGTGAGAATGGCAGCACCACACCGGGTGCCGGAGGGGCTGATCTGGTGAGTCCTTCCCCATGCAGGCGTCTCTCTCTGGCACTCTGACCTGCAAAGTCCTGCTGACTTGGTCTCTCAACTCACGGAGGCTGCTGGGCTCTTCCTGGGCCCCTCCCTGCATGGAGGCCTGCAAACTCTCAAGGCGGAGGGAGGTCTGAGGCCACCACCAGGCTCACCTTCCGTTTTCCTGTCTCTCAGGGATCATGGTCCTTTGTTCCAAATGTCTTGTGTCTTGACATCTTTTGTTTCATGTTTAGTCTGTTTTTTGTCTTGTTTTAGGTCTGTTTCCTATGATGTTGTCTTGGGTGGGAGTGGAAGGTTTGTTTTTCAAATAAGACAACATTTTAAATTTGTTTGAAAGTGTTAGGGAGTGTCTAAAATCCTGGGAAATACCTGGACACCTGCTATGTTGCTCCCTCTGGATTGTTCCAGCCACACGATGGGCACCGCCACCCCCACAGTCATCAGGCCTGGCGTGCTGCTCCCTATGTATCGTTCTAGCTACACGATGGGCACCGCCCCTCCCACAGTAAGGCCTGGCATGCTGCTCCCTACGTATCGTTCTAGCTATGTGATGGGCACCGCCACCCCCACAGTGGTCAGGCCTGGCATGCTGCTCCCTATGTATCGTTCTAGCTATGCGATGGGCACCGCCACCCCCACAGTCATCAGGCCTGGCGTGCGTGGCTCACAACACAGCAGGAGCGCCCTCACGCACTGCGGCCTGGGTGCCCGTCTCCGGCTCATCTTCCTCGATGCAGGCTCTGATGTCAGACGACCAGGGGCTGTGGGCTGGGCTGGAGGACACAGGCAGGCCCAGCGACCCCAGGATGGAGGAGGACCGGCTGCTGGAAGAGGAGGTGCTGCTGTCCGAGATGGTGGAGTGTGGTCGCTTGAAGGGGGTGGCATGGTCAGAGGAGGACCCCGCAGTGGGCCCTCTCATTTGTGACTCTGGAAAGGGACAGAAAGCAGGTCAGGCTGGCTTCCTCTCCAGAAGTGCAGCCCAGGTTCAGAAACGGGATCAGAGCCGTCCGAAAGGCTGACCAGGCTGTGCCCCTGCAGTCATGCCCGTCCAACCCAACGTGTCAGCCACAGGCCCAGTGCGCTCTGCAGGGCGAGTGAGGGTGGGGGTGAGGCCACCGTACCTGTGCCCTTGATGATGCTGTTGCAGGCCCGGTCGCTTATCACTGTACCTTTGGGGGCCTGGTCGCTGGGCTTGACATCCATGAATGGCTGGTTGCCTATCCCCATGGATGCCATTTCTTGGATTCTGAGTTCTAAGACAGAAGAAAGCATGACAGTTTCCAAAGCAACTCGGGGGCTAACGCCACCCCAAAGATGCCCAGTACCCCTAATGCCCTCAGCCCAAACCAGGAGGGTGTACAGGGCCTACCCACCCTGCCTCCCAAGAGGCATGGGGGTCCAGGATGCTGAGGCTTCCCGTTCCAGTTTTCGGCCGCATAGGGAGCTCTCCCAGGGAGCCCAAGGCAGTAACCAAGAATAAGAAAGCCATGAAGCCTTGGAAACGGCGTGTCCAACCTGGGGGTGAGGAAGGGTCCCTGTCTGCTGGTAAGCGGGAGAGGGCCCCACAGCAGGTCCCAATGAGAGCAGGGGTCAAAGGCCTGGGAGCTGTGTCCATGGGAAAGACAAAAGTGACAGGTTTCTAGGAGTTTGAATATTGAGAGGTGAGCTAAGCATAAGGTGAGAGTTTGGGAATGAATTTATTCTTGGTCAAATTAAGCAAAGAAAAAAGATGATATTAATTGTAAGTAAATATATGAGGATAGAAAACATAATTACATTTATGTAGTCCTAATGCATATGCTGAAGAATATTATAGTATGAATTATTTCCAGAGGTCTTGGGAGAACGGGAAGACGTGTAGTGTGTGTGTGCTGCAGGCACAGAATTACTGATCACCTTCACCAACAGGTAACGTGCAAAGCTGGTTAATCAAGAGTGAGTGTCCCCTCTTGCAGGGAAGGGGCCGAGTGTGGCTGCCCGGGATGCAGGGCTTGGAGTTGGGCAGCGAACAGGACGTTGCTCTTCCCCTGACTCTGAAGCGCTGTTTTAGGGTTAGAGCTGTGCGTGTGGATGTGGGACAGCTTCCTCCTCTGGCTGCAGTGGGATTGCCTGTATACCTTACATCCAAGCCTGCGGCCGAGAACAACCAGAAAAGCTGGACACATGTTTTGAAGGTGTTTTGGAGGTGACGAGGCAATCCAGCCTCAAAGGGCTAACATCCTGGGCAGATGCAGAGCTCACAGACCACTGGACACCTGACACCTTTCTAACCCCTCAGGGCACTGCTGGTGGCCGATGAGCTCGGAGCTTGGAGGCTGAGAGCTTCGGACAACGCACAGGGTAGGGAGATAAAACCTGGAATTTGGGGATTGCCAGGGAGGAAGGGCCTGGGAAACTCCCAGACATTCAGTGGGGACCTGGAAAGGGAGCATGGACTTTGCCAGGAGTGGGACAAACAGAAGCTGGATCAGCTGCCCAAAGGTCTGAGGCGGACTTCACGCAGCCCCTCCCCTGAGTGCGTTCAGATGACCTACCCCTGCTCTTCCCACAAAAATAAATCCTCTGGAGGTGAAGACACCAGCCTGGGCCTCAGATGACCCTTGCACATTTCCTACATCATATCTACTGCTTAATAAAAAAATTATCAGGCACACCAGGAGAAAGGACAAAATGAGGAAAGGGTGAGGAAAACCCCAGATAATTAAACATCCGTGAGATAAAGGTTTGGATGTCTCAGGCTGTGGAGGTTACCAGGATTATGTGGCAGGAAGCAGATCACAGGACAGAGAGTCTCAAAAGGAAACTGAAATCCATCAAATAAAAGCAGGGAATACATGATCGAAACACAGAAATCACGCGAGAAACATAACAACATGGAAAAAGGTCACATGTGTAGTCAGAGTTCCAGGTGGAGCACAGAGAGCAGAGCAGAAGTGATCTAATGTTCCAGAACTAACCCCACGCTGGGACACAGGCAAGGACCGCCATCCTTGGCCATCAGAGCAAAGCTGGCCTGGGGGCAGCCAGACTGCTCTCATTCATGGCAGTGGCTGCCCAGGTCTCTCTGCCTGGGGGGTGTTCCCCCACTTCCTGTGGACGGGACAGAAGTGTCAGGTGGTTCACACCCCAGGAGGAGCCTCAACGATGAGGGACAGGAGTTGGCAGAGAACCACCCAGGTCCCTCAGCATGTGGGGGTCCCTCAGCATGTGGGACAGTGCCTGGGTGTGCCTGTCTTCTAGATGGTGTGTGCAAGGACCTGCCCATCAGTCACCCTCCATGGCCTTTCCCTCCTCTCTCACTTCCCTGTTCTCACCAAACAGGTAGAAAACAAAGAGTAAGATACTCTAGATTTATGCCCGCATTGCATTAAATATAAACACACTACTCCAATTTAAAGACAAGGACAGTCAAATTAGATAAAAAGATAAAAGTGAAATCAAACATATGCCTTTTACAAGAGACGTATCTCAAATATAAGAACACCGAAAGTTCCAAGTAAGAAGATGGACAAGTGTGTGTTGTGTAAACACAACTTTGCAAAAGGAAACTGGAATAGCTACATTAACAGGAAGCACAGTCGGCCTTCTGTATCTGTGGGTTCCATATCCACAGATCCCACCAAGGATCAAAACTATTGGAACAAAAAGCAATTACAACAAAAGTTAAAAATACAAACAAAAACCCAATATAACAGCTATTTATAAGCATTTTCATTGTACTATGGATTATAAGTAATGTACAGATGATTTGCAGTATATAGGAGCATGTGTGTAGGTTATGTGCAACTACTGTGCCATTTTATATCAGCGACTGGACCAACTGCAGATTTGGGTATCTGTGGGGGAGTCCTGGAACCCAGCCCCATGGACACAGAGGGACAGCTGTAGATCTAAGACAAAAGGCATTCCTAAAAATAAAGAGATGCATTTCATTATCATAAAAGAGGCTCTGTTTCTAGGAAGATATAGCAATTCTATATTACTATGCACTTAATAATTTAGCTCCAAAACACAGAAAGCAAAAATTGACAGAACAAAAAGAAAACTAGACAAATTCAAATCTACATCATCATGGGAGATTTTAACACACTTTTCCTAGTGATAGGCAGCCAAAAAGCCAATAAGGATATAACAAATCTGAACAACACAATTTTCAAAACGTGATCAGAACTCTGCAATAACAACTACAAAGCACACTTTCTCTTCATGTGGAAAATTTACCACAATGCCGGGACATACAACTTTTCAAATAACCGAAGCTGTTACAGGTGGCTAGACAGGCATGAGCGGGGCAGGAGAGGGCTCCCCACCCACTGGGAATGTCGGGTGGTGGCCTGGCATATACCACACTGCCTCTCTAAAACGGGTACCTTGGCAGCCAGTGCCAGGAAGAGGGCATTTCCTGATGGTCCACGCCTGCTGCACTCAAGTGTTAACTGAAGGCAGGTGCCAGGAGAAGCAACTGTGTGCATTAAGAGACGAAACGGTAGAATGTCACCTTTTGGGGGCGCCCCACCAGAAAAGGGAAGACAGCCTCAGACACGGATGCGTACAACTTCCTAAGCACACAGGGTATCAGGGTATCCTCACATCCCAAGGGAAAGGCCCACACTGCGCATGCAGGCAGCCCAGCCTAAGGGGAGAATCACAGGAAATGGGCTGGCCCGGGAAGTTCTAGGATAAGGATAAACGGGGCCCTTGATCTCAGTGTCCACTTGGGTCTCTTCCAAGTGTGCTTTTCTTCCTCTCCTGTTCTAAAGCCTTTTCAAATGAACTTCCATTCCTGCTCTGAAACTTGCCTTAGTCTCTTTTTCTGCCTTATGTCCCTCAGTCAAATTCTTTCTTCTGAGGAGACAAGAATTGAGGTTGCTGCAGACCTGTACAGGTTCGCCACCAGTCACTTGGATACCTTCCATGGATAATAAACTCTAGTGTATATTATTTGACCAAAGCGGTCTTATACTCAAAACTGGTATCACAAAGTTAACTAGAAAATCTTGGAAATTAGGTAATGCATTTCTAAATAATCCATGATGAGTCCAAGAAGAAATTAAAGTGGAAGTTAGAAAATATACTGAACTGACGTTAATAAACATATGACATATACAAACTTGTGGGATGCAGCTAAAGCTTAGAGAAAAGTCTGTATAGTCTTAAATACTGCACAAAAACGAGAACAAAACAAAGGCTAAAATCAATGATCTAAGCATCCAGCTCAAGAAATTAGGTAGAAAGGAAAAGCAAATGAAACACTGAAAAAAGTAGACACAAGAAAATAACGAAGAGTAGGAATTAATTAAATAGAAACTAAGTGTGTAGATAATCCATTAAACCAAAATTCTGTTTTCTGGGAAGACTAATTTGGTAAATCCCTGGCAAAACTGGAGAAGTCAAGAGAGGGCTCAAGTGACCAACGAGGTGATGGGGAGGGGGTGCCAGGTCCTCGACACACCTGAGAAGCATCAGGTTCCACTTTCCAGGCAACCCAGCTGTACCTGCAGAGCCTGGACAGCTCTGTGGGCCACACTGCACATCCCCAGGCCAGGCAGAGTCCTGTGTGCATACCCTGTGCTCAGCCGTCCCCCGACCCTGTTGAGGAGGGCTGTGAAACTAAATAACTTGAACTCGACGCTGTGGGAACTGTAAGATATTCCGAACCCTGAGAGGAGCCCGGCAATGCCCTGAGTCACGGAGCATCAGGTGCAACTTTCGCTTTTTCCGGTAAGTGGTCAGGGATGACCGGGAGGCACCAGAGATAAGAATCTCTCAGAACATGCCTCCTCCTCACAGAATGTAGCAACCTGGACTAATCGAGCTGCTGTCAAGTTGGCTGCAGCCGTTTCTGCCTCTGTAAGTGAAGCCTCGGCTTCCCCACTCGGGAGCACAGACCCCGTCCCTTTGGAGTCTGCATTCTGGGGTGGCCATTCCCATGCTTTGTGCTTGAATCAGCTTAGTTCTCTTTTCTGAATCTGATTATTCAAGGCTGGCAGGGCCTATTTCCTGCAGGCTCCCAGTGCTTGGAACACAGGAGGGGTTGAAATGGACAGATCATCCCCAGGGAGGCTTTGTGCACCACAGTCAGGTGGACCCCAAACAGGAAGCAGGACCAGTGGGTTACAAAGGAAGGAAAAAGGCCAGGAAGGCTCTTCAGGATGGTGGCATCTTGGAGATGAGGCCTCTGACCAAGTAGCTGCTGCCCATGGTGTGTGGAGTAGCCAGGAGGCTGGGGCCAGAGGGGGAGCTGGCAGGGAGACCATGGGGCCCCTGTACCCGACAGAGCTGGCTCCGAAGAGTTTCGGGGGCTGGTGGGGAGGCAGTGGCTGCACCTGGAGGGGGTCAAGGCTCAGGCGGGGTGTGGGTGTGCAGGATCCCTGGTTGTGTCTGTAGCTTGGGTGCCTCAGTTTCTCAGGTCTGAGAGGCCAGAGCTGCCAGGTGGGCTTGTAGGGTAGAGGTGGACAGCTGGGTTTACAGTGGCTTTGGCTATCTGTGAGGTGCGGGGGCAGGCCCTGGAGTTGGAGCTCAGTGTGGGAGAAGGTCTGGGGTAGGGGGTGGTCGCTGTGAAGGTGGTGTTCGCAGCTGCCAGGCTGGAGGAATAAGCACAGAGAGGCACACCCAGTGATGAAGTCGGGGGAGGGGGGAGCAAACGAGGGTGGACATTGAGGGAGGAGGGAGGAGGCCTGGGGGAGGGGTCCCAGGGTGGGGCATGAGTTCTCTGGGGAGGGCCCTCTCATGACTATGAGCTCAGCCTCCCAGGGCCATGGGGGCCAGACCAGCAGGGCAGGGACAGGAAGTCAACCAGAGGGTTAAATCTGGAGCCAGAGCTGCGGGGGACCCTCTCTGGGGTGGCCGCAGTGTCTTGTTTACGTTCGCTTGTGGACATGAGAGACACGTGTGTGAGTGCCACCAGGTCCGATCCAAGAAGTTTCTCGTAAAGTGCTGACCGAGGGCCCCCAGGTGCCCCAGACAGGGTGTGCCTCTTGGGTGCCCATGAGGAAGAAAATGGACGGTCCGGCTACTGGAGGATCCTCAGAGTGATTAGGCCCTTAAGGAGGTTGACTTTGGAGATCAAGTCACAGACCTCAGCCCCTTAATTTCTGACCTTTTGTTAGAGATTTCCTTGCCTCCTTGCCTCCCTGTTCCTGGCTCAGACCAGACAGTCCTGACACAGAAGACCCTTGACTATTCCGTCCCTAATGTGGAATGCAAAATATACCCTCACCCCTACCAAAAAAAAAAATGCTGTCTGTAGTCAATCGAATTGCTGTAACTGTGCCCCAGCCCTGTATAGAAAATGATGTGATCCTGTTACATTTCCCCAGACTGTGCCTATACAAATGGCCCTTAAACCTCCCCACTTCGGGGCAATGACCCCATCCCTTTGAAGTCTGTGTCCTCCCAGGTGGCCATCCCCAGACTTTGTGCTCAAGTGAACTCAATATTTAATTATACCGCCTGAATCTCAGCATTAAGGTCGATAGCCCAGCTCCCAACCCACGCCTCCACTCCCGCCCCACTCCTAGCCTTGGCCTCCCACCCCTGGACTCAAGTCTCCAGCCCCTACTCCAGTCACAGCCCCCAGCCCCTGGACTCAGTCCCCAACCCCAGCCCCAGCCCCAGTCCCAGGCTGGCCCCCGGCCCCCTGGCCCCCCGGCCCCTGGACTCAGCCCCCGGCTCTCACCCCAGCCCCAGCCCTGACCCCTGCCACTAGCTGTGCCCCTTAGCCGGGCAGGCCCTGCGGCCCCCATCTTCCCACCTCTGCTCTTCAGCGCCTGCCTCCACAGGATCCTCCCTATGACATCGGTCCACGCACGCTTGACCTCTGCCGAGCTTGCTTGGAGAATGTAGGTGTCCTGAGATTTCTGCCGCCTGCGAAACCAAATCTCAAACCTCGAGCCACTGTCCCCGACGTTCTCTGTCATCCCGATCTCAGCCGTCTGCAGTCAGCAAACACCCGTGGCGGCACCATCAGGAACACAGATCTCTGAACGACTGGCTACCCAAATTCCTCAGGGCTGGCAGCCACGTCACCCAGACACCAAATGACAAATGTGTGGGATGCCTCAGGGTGGGCAAAACCTCACTGCTCACTACTGTGTGAGGCTGCCTGTGAGCGTGCAAGGGAGAGCACGTGTGTGCAGGACAGCTGCCCATGAGTGTGCAAGGCTACGCACGAGTGTGGGAGGCTGCTTGTGTGTGAGCCCATGTACCCTCATGGCCTCTGTCAAGAAGGGAGGGACCTGGCCTCCCTCAGCACAGCCGAGTCACAAGCGGGAACCTGCCCACCATGGTGCGTCAGCGACGCCCTCTCTGTGCACCTCCCAGAGCCGGGGGAAGGCCCGTCCCGTGTTCACCCTCTCTGTGCACCTCCCAGAGCCAGGGGAAGGCCCGTCCCGTGTTCACCTCTGTACAGAATCCACAATGCAGTTTCTGACTGAGAATATACTTGTTTCTCAGCCCTTGGACTGGACATGGGACTGGAGAAGACACACGTCTCCTTGCCGATTTTGGAGGGCTAACGTTTTCAAGAATTTACCCAAGAACCACAGAAATCAAAACATCACAGTTCGGCTCCTCCCAGCTTCACTCCCTCCCAGTTCCTCTGCTTGCCTCAGGTGAGACAGGGTCCGAGACCCCCTTGGAGGGCCTGGCTCAGCCTGCGCCCGATCGGACCAGGCGGGTGCTACCTTGAAAGACTGCTTGTACAGGTAGACGTCGTGGCCGCCCTCCACCTTCTGGGTCTTGCTGAACAGGATGAGGTCTTCAAAGAGGAACACGTGCCTCAGATACTTCTTCCTCCCGCAGCAAATGATAAACTCGTCTCGGCATTTCAGCTGCCCCTGCTCCTTCAAATTCACCTGCAGAGGAACAGCCAAGGGGCTGGCCTTGGCTCATTCATACGGGCCCGCAGCCGCTCACACACACACTGCTGCCTGCGACCGGCCATGTGGGTCTCGCCAGACCCCGCCGTGGGGCTTGTGCAGCTCAGTGTAGTGAAGGCTGCCCCAGCTGCCCCCAACCCCAGATTCCCCAAAGGCCATGGGCGAGCTGAGAAATGGCTGGTGCGTGGGGGCGCTGGCTCCACTCCGGCAGGCTGCCGTGTCCCCTGGCCTGGGATGGGCAACACCCCAGTGGCGGAGCAGGGCGTGGAGGGTGGGCCCTCACATCAGCTGGAGAAGGCAGGCCCATCTCGGGCCCCAACACCCATGGAATCGGGGCTTGACCTTAGTGCCTTCCCACAGAGGGCTGGGGTGCAGCACCCACATCCACCTGTTTTCAATGCAGCCCAGGTAAGCAGACTCCCAGTCACTCAGAGCCAGCCTGCTCTGCATGTCCTGTGCAACTGCAGCCAACACCTGCCAGCCATTGTCACACCCGGGGCTCCAGGGGCCTCAGGCCTTGCCGCTCCCTGACATTGCCCGGACAGGGAAGACCCTCCTCCCAGTGGCCTCCACTGCAGCCGTCAGAAGGCTGTGCTTTGAAGGGCTTCTCCGGGGCAAATCTGCCAGCACGTCACTAAGAAGATGCTGTTGCTGGGCCAGGACTTTCTCACCAGCGGCCTCCAATCCCCCCAGCTAGCCCGAGCTGCCAGCGCCTGGGGCACTTACGTCACAGCCGCGGATGGCGTCCATGGCCAGCAGGTCATTGCTGTGGCGCAGCTGGAAGCAGACCACGACCTCGGCGGCTCGGAGCTCGCCCAGCTCCTGTCCCTGGGCCGGGCCGCGGCTGGCCTCCTTGAGCAGGTCCTGGAGCAGCAGCGCGTACTTGGCCACGCGCTGCACGGGCCGCAGCAGGTAGGAGGCCAGGTCCATCTTGTCACCTAGCTCCCGCTGCTTGTCCTGCAAGGCCGGGGGAGAGGGTCAGCTCCGGCCTGGCTGAGGGCCGCGCAGCTGCGGGGGGTGGGCCGAGGGGATGACCTTGAAGAAGGCGTTGCCGTGGCTGCTGAGCAGGGCGTCCGACTGCGGCTTGTTCTTGCTGTAGACCACGTACATCCCAAACTGCTCTTCCTGGAAAAGCAGAGGCGACTGCTTGGCTGTGGGAGTGACAGGCCCGGAGACGGCAGGCTCTCACAGCCCGGGTCAGACTTGGAACTGCTCCCGTCCCAAGACCCTCCAGGTGCGGTTCGTACCATGACGAGGTGAAAGGGAGACTCAGCCCTTCATTACAGACTATCGCAGTGTCCCCAGCAAGGGGGCCCCAGAGGGGACCAGTTTACCAGCTGCAACCTCAATGCTGAGAATTCTGTAATTTGTCTTTAAAACACAGACTCCAGGAGGCTGAGGGGGGAAGAGGATACAGCTGGCAGTGGGCCTGGGAGGGCGTGGGGGGCAGTGGAACGATTTGGTCAATGGCCAAGAGCTAAAGCTGTCAAGACATTTAAAATTGCCACAATTACGGTCAATATGAATCTGTACTTTATGTCTAAAAGCACCTTTTAAGAAAATGCTGCCGGGCGCGGTGGCTCAAGCCTGTAATCCCAGCACTTTGGGAGGCCGAGACGGGCGGATCACGAGGTCAGGAGATCGAGACCATCCTGGCTAACTTGGTGAAACCCCGTCTCTACCAAAAAAAAAAAATACAAAAAACTAGCCGGGCGAGGTGGCGGGCGCCTGTAGTCCCAGCTACTCGGGAGGCTGAGGCAGGAGAATGGCGTAAACCCGGGAGGCGGAGCTTGCAGTGAGCTGAGATCCGGCCACTGCACTCCACGCTGGGCAAGAGAGCGAGACTCCGTCTCAAAAAAAATAAAAAAAATAAAAAAAATAAAATGCTGAGGCCGGGCACGGTGGCTCACGCCTGCAATCCTAGCACTTTGGGAGGCCAAGGCGGGCAGATCACAAGGTCTGGAGTTCAAGACCAGCCTGGCCAGCACGGTGAAACCCCATCTCTACTAAAAATACAAAAATTAGCCAGGCCCGGTGGCGTGCACCTGTAGTCCCAGTTACTAAAGAGGCTGAGGCAGGAGAATCACCTGAACGCGGGAGGTGGAGGCTGCTGTGAGCTGTGATTGTACCACAGCACTCCAGCCAGACAGAGCGAGACTCCATATCGAAGGGGAAAAAAAAGAAAGAACACTGAAAAGATGGAACATGAGCTTCTTTTGTCCACGGCTGTTTTCACTGTGATAATTTGTGCTCAATGGTCTGGGACACACGTCCCATCTGCCCACAGCACTCAGCACTCAGAAAGCCTGTCAGTTTCCTTCCAGAGTAAATTAAAAACTTTATTAAAGACTCTCACACAGAGAGATTCCACGTTCATCATTGAGAAGTGACTTACGAGGAGAGACCACTGAGTCTGTATATTCAACGTGCTTCCAGTTGAAAGCCTCACAGGGAATTCTCAGAACGGGACAGGCTGGTCCCTCTGGCAGGTAACGGGGTACCCGGGGGCAGGGGGCTTGCAAAGGGGTGAAGCCTGGCCCCTCCCCAGAAGGTGATTCTGGGAACCGCTTCTGGCCTCTCAGCCGGAAGTGGTAAAGGAGCAGGCTGCTGGCGGAACGGGTGTGATGGTGTCCGCGGAGCCCCCGCCTCCAGGGGCAGCAGGGATGCAGTTGGTCACACCACCTGCAAAGCACTGGGCACTGGAGACCCACAGGTTATCCGTGTGGGGTGTCTGTTTGTTGGCTGGTCGAATCATCCTGTCAGGACCAGCTCCCAGACCTGGGCTGAAGCTACTCCAACCGCCTGACACATGGGCGCCACCACGTCACCCGTCGTCCACGCCACCCGTCGTCCACGCCACCCGTCGTCCACGCCACCCGTCGTCCACGCCACCCGTCGTCCACGTCACCCGTCGTCCACGCCACCCGTCGTCCACGCCACCCGTCGTCCACGTCACCCGTCGTCCACGCCACCCGTCGTCCACGCCACGGCCTGTACTCACGTGTCTCAGGAAACTGCGGCCCACGGCCAAGGGGCAGTGTCGGCAGTGCTCCAGCTCCCGGAGGAAGTGCTGCTGGTGGAAGTCGTGGAGCTTCTCCAAGTTGCCGAAAATAACGTGGTGCTTCCCTCGAAGGCCCTGGGGCAGGTCCATTCTCTCCATTTCCGGAAAATAGTTGTCGATGACGTATCCTAAGCACCGGACGTACTCCCTCTCCGTGGCGATCATTTCGGCCATGATGTGCCTGAGTCGGCTGCTGGAAGACACAGAGATCCCGGGGGCACATGGCCCCCCACGGACGCGTTATTAAGAGCAATTCACGCCTGAGACAGAAACACATGAAGACCCAGAGGCATGAGCACGGTCACACGTGGACCAGAGGCACATGGGCACATGTGGGATTCACAATAAAGAAACTTCTGGCCGGGCGCGGTGGCTCACGCCTGTAATTCCAGCACTTTGGGAGACTGAGGTGGGTGGATCCCGAGGTCAAGAGATAGAGACAGCCTAGCCAACACGGTGAAACCTCGTCTCTACTAAAAATACAAAAATTAGCTGGGGGTGGCGGCGTGCACCTGTAGTCCCAGCTACTTGGGAAGCTGAGGCAGGAGAATCACTTGAACCCGGGAGGTGGAGGTTGCAGTGAGGCGAGACTGAGCCACTGCACTCCAGCCTGGACAACAGAGCGAGACTCTGTCTCAAAAAAGAAAAAAACCTTCCAGTCGACCGCACGTCCTCAGCAGGGAGTGACTCACCTGCACCCCGGCTCATTCTCTCCCTGTTACCTGGAGCTGCTCCCCTGATACACAGTAACTTGAAAAGATAAGGACAATATTTCAAAAAGAAGCTTGTCACGTGGAACATTTCCATATTATTGATCGTGGCCTTTTCAGAGGACAGATCCCCTTGGAAACCAAGAAAGAGATTCCCAGGCTCCCTAACGGAAACTCTGAACGTAACGTTTCTCGTTCCAGCCGGTTTGATTTTAGCGGCAACATGACTCAAACACTTCCAGCAGCAGCGCTTCTGCAAGGAAGGCTGTGGTGGAAATTTCGTGAGAAAACAGCTTTCGGATCCACGCCCACTGCTGACCGACCAGGAGATTTTCCTGAGAGTCGGCTTCCGCGGCAGTCACTCCTGACCCAAGGGGCTCAGCACCTTACGCAGCAGCTTCAAGGGGACTCGGGGGCTGCAGCGGCCGGAGAACAAGGCTGGGGGCGCAGGACGGCCCAGAGGTGGACAACAGCAGGCGAGGCCCCAGGGACGGCCGTCCATGGAACCCTCTGCCCCACCCTCGGCTGGGGTCTCCCTGCCTTGAACGAGGGTCCTGAGGAGGGGCCGCCGAGCAGGCTTTGTAGGGGCACTGCTCCCGTGAGGGGTGAGCCTCCGATGCACTGCTGAGTCTTCGAAGAACCCTTCCTGACAACACACGTCTGCAGGAGATGTGGGCTCCTCCGCGGCTGCCCAGAGTCTCACCACCTCTGTATCCCCAGGGCTGGCAGGACCCGGAGGACCCACTCGTGTTGAGAGTGGAGAGGTGGGCTGGCCGGTGTGGTCAGCTTGGCCGGGTGGTTCCTCACATGCAAAACAGCGGTGCTGGGATCATAGAGGCCCAAACCGGGCTTCCCAAATCAGTGCTATTCTTTTGTGCATTTTCCTTTTTTTTTTAACCATTAAAAACATGCTAAGCATCCAAAAACACTTTTCCATTCACCATAAACAAATGCGGGGCACTTAGGCTGGTGGCTCGGTTTCATGAGCTGGCTGGAGTGTGGCCACCTGGTCGCTCTCGGCAACTGAGCCTGGAGGGCAGGGCCCACACTCGGGCAGCGTGAATGCCAAAGCCTGGCCTGGGCTGTGGGACTCCCCGGGAGAAGGTTCTCTGGGTTCTGCTGGGGTGGGGTCTAGCGTGTCCCACAGCTCTGCAGCTCTGACCACCCATCAACTGCACTTTCAAAGGGCCACTGGTGACCCGGGGGCCCTTCCCTAATAAATAGTGAGGTACACAGCTTTTCTGCTCTACTCGATAGCATCTTACCCCCAACCTTCTTAAATAACTCGATCCTAATGATACCAATGGGAGTTGGAAGATTATTTTTCTACCATTATTTGTATTTACTTGTTTTTTAAGTTGGAAAAACTTAAAAGCAGCTAATGATGGGAAGCACAGCTGAGGGCAGACATGCTGCTGAACGCACATTCCATTCATAGCAGAGCTGCAGAACTTGTCCCCTGCACTCCCGCATCACAGATTTGACAGATTCTCACTGTTTCTGAGAACACAGCACCTCCTGGCTGGTCAGGAACTGGCCCTCACAGCACAGGCGGGAAGGCCGAGGCCCAATGTTGTGACCCACACAAAAGCCTCCTCAGTAAATATCCAGAAACAAAATCAGAACGAGGATGGTCTTGATTTGGTCTTGACCAAATGGACAATGCACTCACTAGGCAGCAACAGCTGGAAATCACACAGGGGTGGGTGGGGGTCCCCCCCTCCTGTGTTCTGCTGCCTCCCAAACCTGAAACATGGGCTCAGTGGAGACAGAATCGTCAGTGCAGCCACCTGCTGAGACTCAGGGACAGCACTTGGCGTTCCTCTTACCGATTCGGAAGGGCCAGCCTGTACTCAGGCCCAGCCGGCAGATATCCCTGGATCACTCACACCAATGGTAAAAACCAGAACTTCATGTTCTACCTGGAGTTTTACCCTTAACAAGGTAAATACTGAGGTTTGGCAACCTAAAGGTGTGTTTCAGAAGAGTGTTCTGTGGCCTTCTCCGTTCAGATTGAACCTGCGATCAGGGCATGAGGAGGAAATCCTTTCTATGGAGCTTAAGGCAGAGGCCCCCAATCCCCGGGGCCACCGACTGGTGCCCGTCTGTGGCCTGTCGGGAACCAGGCCGCCCAGCAGGAGGTGAGCGGCAGGCAGCGAGTTACCAGCTGAGCTCCGTCTCCTGTCAGATCAGTGGCGGCAGTGGAGTCTCGGAGGAGCACGGACGCTGCTGCACGCAGGAGGGGTCTAGGTTTCGTGCTCCTTATGAGAACGTAAAGCCTGATGAGCTGAAGTGGAGCAGTTTCATCCCAAAACCATCCCCTCAACCCCTGCGGTCTGTGGAAAAATTGTCTTCCATGAAACCTGTCCCTGGTGCCAAAAAGGTTGGAGACTGTCGGCCCAAGACGCAGAAGCCAACCAATGACAAAGCATCTCCTGAAATTCTCCACCTCCAGCCCTCACGGCCACACCACATGGGCAGAAGATGGAGGTTCAGACGGCATCCGGCCTACGCAGGGGCCGAGCCCGCCCACCCTTACCTGTGAGTGGAAGCGTCCTTTGCAGGCTCGACAAGTGAGAAGGGGCCTCTTCAGTGAGGCAATGGACGCACGAGTGCACCTTCTTACCCCTAACACTTAGAGACTTTCTAAAACGTATTTTTAAGGTAACTTCTTGGTATCGGGGGTTGATTTGCTGCCTGTAATTTTCTGTAAGTGGGCTGAAAATAACTACAGTTGGTCACACGGTTACTTAACCATCAGAGTGAGTGTGTGCGGGTTAACACACACCATCCAGGCAGTTTTCAGTGGTCCCTTCTGAACACGGGGGCAGGTAACTCATATCTACTTTAAAACTGTGTTTCTTCTTGGACCGGGCAGGTGGACCCAGAGGGATGTCTGTGGATTTACTTTCTACTTTGCAGAAGAGAGTTTAACGCCACAATGGCTTTGGGTTTCTAGATCCCCAAGGGCTGCTAGGACGAGAGGAGGGGGATGTCCACCTTACCTGCCCACCTGCCGCTTCCCGTCCTCCTCAGCAGGGTGGAGCCCCGAGGGAGAGGACAGACTCCGGCTCCCAGTGACCGGGGGGCTCCTGGCCTGAGGCCGCAGCAGGAGCTTCTTCTCTGTGGCCACAGTGCTGGTTACCTCCAGGCCCTTGCTGAAGACACCGGTATGGCCTGGCTGGCAGGAGTCCCTGGGGCCACTGTCGGGCTGAGGTATCTCGAAACTTTGCATTTTCTTTACCATTTTCTTCTGGGGATGTTTCCTGGGGCGGCTGGCCGGGGTCTGGGTGGGCTCAGAGGAGCAGGCAGAGCTGTCCTCCGGGTGGGCCGTGGTGGCCGCTGCTCCTGAAAGGCCCCCGAGGGGGGACACTGGGTCCCACGGAGCACACAGCCCTGGGCCCAGGGGCTCCCCGTCCTGTCCACACAGAAGCGCTCGTCCAGGGAGGCCGGGTTCCCAGGCACCATCCTCAGTGTCCGTGCTGGGAACTGAGGGTGGCTTACGGGGCCTCCTCATGGCCTCCTGAGCACACTCATGCTTTGGGGGGCTCTGGGCAAGGGGCGGTAAGCTGGGGCCTGGGGTGGCCTCAGAAAGGGCCTCTTCCAGCCGGAGCCGGGTCTGAGGGCACTGCAGCCACAGGTCTTGCTGCGATGCCCACGGTCTCCCCAGGGTTTGAGGCTTCAGCACTGCCACACCTGCCCCGGGGAAGGCCTCTGCAGCCACCGAGGTAGCCTCCTGGTGACGGCTCCTCAAACACTCAGCCACAGGTGAGGAAGGATAAGCCTCCAGGTCCAGGGGCCCCATCCAGCTGCTCGCCTGTGGGACAAGGAGGGCTCTGCTCAGTGCAGTGGAGGAGGGACCGCCCCAGAGCCAGCTCAGGCACTGCTTTCCCAGGTCAGCCTAGTCAGGGACCAGGGGACCAGACAGCAGAGGGAGAGGCAGCCCCCCCAGCCAGTGGGGGCTGTGGCCGGGTTCAACCGAAGGGCAGGTGGGCTGTGTCTGACCCTACGGGGTCTGTTCTCTATGCCAGAGGGCACCATGGGGGATGTCCTAGGACCACGTGAAGACACCGTGTAGGTGCCACATCCTGTGAGCTGAGAGAGGCATGACGGGGCAGACGGCTCTACCCTGCGCTGGCCACCCCATGACCCCCTCAAATGCTGTCTTGACAGGTGAGCTCCTAATGGCGTGCGGTCCCAGGCGTGGGGGAGTTCACCGGCGTGCGGTCCCGGGCGCGGGGGAGCTTGCAGGCGTGCAATCTGCTGTAGCACTTGTTTGGGGTTTTGGGCAGTCAGTGGAATTTTGTAACTGAACCACTAAACACACAGAGAAATGTGTGTGTGAGTTCGGCTGGTCTGTTTGGTACAATATCGAATGCTTCACAGGTCAACTTAGAGCCTTCTCCAGAGAGCTGTGGGTGCAGTGGCCAGGGGCTCCATCGCAGGCACCCGGCCTGTCCCAGAGCCTGGCCCACCCTCTCCAACTTGTGCGGGGAGGCGTAAATGCCCACAGCCTAAGGAGCCGGGATCCCTGGGACGCACACCCACTGGGTCTCTTACCATCTCGCACAACTCGGATGGGCGGGGCCACCTGGCCAGGTCTCCCTCCCCGTACTCAGCCTGGCTGACCACGGCGCTCAGGCCCCTTCTGACATCCTGGACCATTTCCTCTGTATCATGCGGGTTCTCCTTCACCAGCTGCAGTCCTTTCTGGCAGGAGTGCTGCACCCAAGGAACACATGATCAGTACAAGCCTGGCGCTTCCACCTTCGTGTCTCCAGGTGGGGGCTGGGTCTGCGTGTAGCCACCAACACCAAGGCTGGGATGGCCCACAGTGCTGCCTGCCGCTGCCTCCCGTTCTCAAGAGCAGGCACCAAAGGACCGAGGAATTTCTCTAGTTCTTTTCCAAACCGTGATTTGATCTACACAGGGGAAGAACATTTATATTTAAACACATGAAGGAGTCACACTCTAGGATTTAGCAGGACCCAGGGAGGGATGCGTCTTGGTCCTGTCCTGAGTACACGCTGCACAGGGCTGACGGCCTGGCTGCGTAACCCCCGTGAATGGACACGACTGATGAGAGGTGGTCACAGGCCTCTGAGGCTCAAGCTCTAGGCTATTTTCATTGTTTGGAAATGGACATTAAAATCATTGAACAATAGACCCAGGACTTTCCACTTTGAAACTGGTTAATATGGTAAATATATTCCAGAAATATTCTTCAGGCAAGTGGCTGCTTGGCCCCTTGAGGCTGCCTGGGAAAGACGGGGGAGCCCTTGGCTGAGCCCTGCTGGGCAGAGCACCTGTGGCTACACACCCTGGTGACAAGACCAAGGTTCTTATTTTGGAGGCGTTTACCACTGGACTCAGTGGAAATGTCAGAGGTAAGCCCTTCATGTTGTCATTAAACAGCAACACCAGGGGCGACTGGGGGTCAGATGCCCAGAGATGAGAGGCCTGTTGTGGAGAAGAGAACAGCTGGCTGGATCCATAACCATCAGAAAGGTACCCAATGACCCCAGACATGCAGCAGGGAAGAGACAGACCAGCGCGTACGCTGTCTTTAAACAGAGCCAGAGTCAAGAAGAGAATCACAGCACCTTGATTCTTAGGAGCATGGGCGGAGCCTTGGAGCTGCCAGGTGAGGGGCAGGTGCGGCATCGGCAGAGCCGAGTGGGGGTGGCGCAGAGCCAGAGCCCAGCCTCCAACCTTGCAGAAAAATCAGCTGTCACTGGTTTTAAGATTTAAATACAAAAATTCAAGTTGTAAAGGTTCTATGATGAAATATACTAATAATTCTATAACCTTAGAGTGGAAAGGGTTGTTTAAAAGGTAAGCAAAGCTAGAGGACAAATGATAAACTGGGAAAACAAGTGGAACATGAAGGATCCGTATAACACAGACAGAAGTGATGATCAACCCTAGAAAAACTGTCTAAAGCATGAACAAGTGATTCACTACAGAAATAAAAATAATAAATGTGTGAAGAGAATGTCCAGCTGTAGCACAGAAAATCTGAGGGCACACTGCTGAGGGGCTCCATTTCCCCGCGGGGTGGCCGGCAGGAGGCAGGTGCGGCTGGAGTGCCACGGCCCATGCGTGGAAACCTCCAAAGACGAATGGCCTGACCCAGCCATCCGAGCCTAGGAATGTATCCAGAGTCAACACCCACGGGCTGTGAAGGAAGCAGAGACACAGAGATGTTCAACATGGGGACGCTTCTAACGGCAGAGAGGGAGGAGCCCAGGACCATCAGTGCGAACACGGCTCGGGGACCCCGCTTGCAGCGCACGCCCACGCACAGGGTGCTGAGGCCACCACATGCATCATCCCATGTGTGAAAATCTATTTGTTTCTAATTTTCCCACAGTGTGCACGCACTTCTTAGGTTAAATATACAGAGACAGACGTGCACCTATACATAGCTGGACCACCTATCCGGTCACGTGTAGAGTTTCTGTGTGAAGACTGCAGAGCGAGATATGTGTCCTCTTGAGACACCACTAAAGCCCTGCCGGCATCTTCCAAGGTGTGTAACCCTCAGCACAGTGGGCAGAGAGCAGCCAGGGCACAAACCTGGAGGCCAGGAAGGAGGCGGGACTGGTAGGGCCTGAGGAGAGCAGAGGCGAAGTCCCAAGACTCCACGGGACGGCGTGAGGGAGTGCGGGAGGGAAGGAGCCGGGGCGCCTGCTCCACAGGGCCCGGGGTCTGTTCCCGGGTTGGGGTGATCCAGGCAGTGCAGCAAGTGAACACTGAGCTGTGGCCAGGCACCCGCTTCAGGCCGAGATTAGAGGAGAAGAATCAGATCACCAGGGAGAAAATGCTACAGATGCGTGGGCCACAGGCTTCCTAACCAGGGGGGCCAGGAAAGCCTCCGGTGCCAGACCACACCCGCAGAAGCCACAGGCCGTGCACGCGTCGTGATTAGTACAGAGAGGGGATCGTTCAGAAAACAAACAAGCCCATGGAGTTAAAAAGCAAGAGCAGAAACAAAAACTCAATAATAGAGTCAGAGGGTAAAGCTGAGAACGTCTGCCTTACAAGGACAGCACACAGCTGGCGGTGGGGAGAACTGAGGCGACAGGACAGAAAACTCCAGGACCAGATTGAAGGGTGGAGCCATGGGAAACGCAAGCGCCACGAAGGACGAAGGACGTGTCACAGAAGTCCAAGAAGAGAGGGGTGCGGTGCAGATGCAAAGAGCACACCTGCCCTCAGCGAACCTGCCCTCAGCGCACCTGGGCGACCCTCAGATTCCAGAGCCCCGAGGACGACAGGAAAGTCTGCAGCTTCCAGCGAGAAGCAGGGCGCAGGCGGAAGGCCGGGAGTGGGACGGAGGCTAAGTTCGGGTGCAGGGCCTTCCAGCTGGCGAAGGGAAACTGAAGTGACTGCTGGCCGTGAAGGTGGAGTAGAGACACTTTTAGGTACCACGGCCTCAAAAATGCTCATCCCAAGATCCCGTTCTCTGGGAAGTCCTGGAAGTTATTCTGCATAAAACACCAAAGTAAATGAAAAAAGAGGAAGACGTGGGTACAGGAAATAGGAGACCCCACAGGACGGGGCAGAGTCGGGAGGGAGATGGAGGAGACCCCAGGACAGAGCAGAGGGAGGAGGGGAAATGGGGGAGACCCCCGAGGAAAGAGTAGAACGAGGAGGGGAAGACGAAGGAGACCCTCAGGACAGAGCAGAGGGAGGAGGAGAGATGGAGGAGACCCCCCAGGACAGGCAGAAGGAGGAGGGGGAGATGGGGGAGAACCCCCAGGACGAGCAGAGGGAGGAGGGGAAGACAAAGGAAACCCTCAGGACAGGCAGAGGGAGGAGGGGAGATGGGGGAGACCCCCAGGATGGGCAGAGGGAGGAGGAGAGATGGAGAAGACCCCCCGGAGAGATGGAGAAGACCCCCAGACAGGCAGAGGGAGGAGGGGAGATGGGGAGACTCCCAGGATGGGCAGAGGGAGGAGGAGGAGAGATGGAGAAGACCCCCCAGGACAGGCAGAGGGAGGAGGGGAAGATGGGGGAGACCCCCAGGACGAGCAGAGGGAGGAAGGGGAGACAGGGGAAGATCCCCAGTATGGGCAGAGGGAGGAGGGGGAGATGGGGGAGACCCCCAGGACAGAGGGCACAGAGACAGCCCGGACTGGCTGGTGGCTGCAGTTCTGCCTGACTCCACTTGCCTGGTGTGGGGTTCCTGCTCCCACCCCAGGGCTTGGACCAGCTGGGCCCCTGGCCAACGCCTGGGAGCTGGGGTCAGTAGTGGGGAGGCCAGGAGCGAGCACGTCGCCTCACGTCCTTGTCTGGAGGCTCCCGTGAGGGCGAACGCGTGGACCTGAAGGCCGGGGGAGCTTGTCAGCAGACGGGATGCCTCCAGCCCCGCTGCACGCCTCTCCATGCTGCCGGCTTTCACCCGCACATTCATTGCAGTCACAGTTGTTGATAAAATAATAAGGATTTAAATAAAAATGTGCAAGTTTTGAAGAGTTTATATGCAACAAAACAGAGAAACGTTTCATCTGAGCGTGCGCCCCTTAAACTGTCAGGCCCAGAAGAGCACCAGAGTGAGGCAGCAGCGCTGTCCGTGCCCCCAAGCTAAGCAATCATTTTGCTGGCACCCCCCGAGCTAAGCAATCATTTCAGAGCCGCTGCTATATGAACCGCAGATTCTGCAGTGTGTCCACCAAGGGTTATCACTAACCCCAGCCACGGCGCACACTGGACACCACAACTCACACCCTGTCGTCCAGCAGCGCGTGGCCAACCCACCAATGCCATTTCTGTGACCCAGAGAATCATGAAAAGCCACTTCTGTCGTCACCCCTCCCAACTCGTCCTCTTTTCTTTAAAACCTCGCGCCTCTCCGTGGCCTCCAGAGCCACTTCCCGAGGTCACCTGGAGGTTGTTTCCCGGCTGCCGTCCTCAGCCTCGGCCCAGACCCTCTACCTGTGCGGTTTCACCTCGGCTCCTCGGCCACCGTGTGCACACGCACGTGGAGAAAGCATCCGGAAGATGATACACCCAGCCGTTCACACAGGTCACATCAGAAGACACAGTGTGAAATTATTTTTCTCCTTGGCCTCCTCTGGATTAAACAAATTTTTTTCCACTGATCCAGTATCTCTCAGGTAAAAAATAAAATTTATTTCTTTTTACACAAGCAGCAAGGCATGCCCTATCCTGACGTAATTTCGTTCCAGATGGAAATCAGGTCAAGGCCCTAAAGACGCAGTGTGAAGGTGGGAGGGTCGCCTTGGCCAGCCTGGCCTGGAGGGGACGCTGACCAGGCTGCCTTCTTCCTGCAGCTCTGACCTGGTCATTCCCGTCCTGGAGCGATGCCAGCTCCTGGAGGCGCTCCAGCTGCTGGAGACGACTGTTCGAGGCGAGGACCAGCCTGTGCACCTCCTCATCCACTCGGTCGTACAGGCTGGTGGCAGCCTCCAGGGTGTCCCTGAGGAAGAGAAGGCAGTCCTCAGGCTCCCCGGCGGCCCCTGGAGGAATCTGCTCTTGGTGACAACCCCAGGTAAAAACCCTGCTCTTTCCGTTCCCTCATGCCAGAAGGCACCGGGAGCCCCAGGAGGAGGCCCACAGCCCAGGCGGGCCACAGACGTGCTGCACGCGTTCTGCCCACATCCTGGCCGGCCTGGGATGCAGGCGCCTGGAGGGGACCCATAGCCTAGGCTGGACTGGCTGCGTGCAGCTGAGATACACGGGGACTGCTGGGGGTGGGCACAGCTCCCCAGGAAGCACAGGTCAAGAATGAGCTCGTTCTGGCGCACTCTGGCCACCTCCCACCGAGCGTCCCCAGAAGCCGGCTCCTTGATCTTTGGAGCCCGTAAATGTGGAAAAGCTCAGACCCAGGCAAAGCGTGGCTGTCAGAACGGAGGTCTGGACCCAGCACAGGCAGGGCTCTCCTTGGAGCAGAGCGCTACGCCTCCTGGCTGCAAACTCCCCTGAGCAGCCCCCTTGATGGGCCAGGGCCCAGCGTGGCTCCCGTGAGCACTCACCGGCCATCTTCTGTGCCGAGTTCTTCTCTCCTCAGCCGTGCCAGGACGGTGCCCCCCTCCAGCCTGAGGGACACAAGCAGTGGGTTTTCCAGGACAAGCTTCATCATCGTCTCGTGCTGGTCAATTAACTCGGCAACTTCCTGCATGGGGTGGGGAGGAACACGCCTTTAACCCTCTCCTCCAAGGGGCAGGTCCTCCCAAGTGCAACAGTGGCAGGAATGTGGAGTGTGACCCACGTTCCTGCTTCCGTAAATCAAGCTGCAGGCCTGGTGGCATGACCGTGCCCACTCCTGAAGCTGATGGTCCAGACTGTCCCAGGGAGGGTTGGCCCCAGGGTAAGACCCCTGCGAGGGAGAAGAAGGGGGCTCAAAGCTCAACTGTAGGAGGTGAACCTGCCATTTAGACCAGGGACAGACATGCAGGCCTCACCCACAGACCCTGGGCCCCTCGGCCTGGCGGCTGGGCTGTCAAGAGCCCTGTGGTCAGCCCGCGTCTGTCTTGTTGGAGTGACTCATTCCTGGCAGCCACTGCTGCTCACGCCGCTGCACACCGTCAAGTGCAGTGACACGGTTTTCCTTCTGGGTACGGTGAACGTTTTTGGTGACAAAGGGGAGGAAATGGTCTTTTGTGAATTGAGAGGGAATTTAAGAGTTCAAGCCTAAACAGGATAATGAAAAAGAATTTGAAAATCTCTGCTACAGATGACGGTGAACCAAATATTTATTTTCATGTTTGGCTAAACCTTTATGCCCCCACCTACCTGTCACATGAAGTGAACTTACCTGCCAGTGTGAGGACTTACCTGGGCTGTACTTGGGGTTCTGTGGGTGTTCAGGGAGCAGAACGAATTCTGTAGAAAAGTGATGGCCTCTTCGCAGTTTCCAGCGAAGTGTTCCAGCCTCTGTCGTGAGTTGAGAGGGAGATTATAAGGACCCGGTCTGTTAGATGCTAAAGTAAGCAGCTGTGAGTTCCAGTTCCTGCATTTAAACTGATCTCGGGTTGGGAAGCTCCCATGTGTGAAGGTCCCTGAGATCTACAGACACTTCCGGGGCAGCAGTGCCCTTCCCACCCAGGCTTGGCATCTCAGATGCACCACGGCGTGGTTGTGGAGACACCAAGACCTGAATGGTGACTGTAATAAGCATGAGATCAGGGATGGTGATGTCTTTTCAAATTTGAGTGAAAACATCCACATGACAGAAAGTCCCCAGAGACTGTGGCATGTGCAGCAGCTGAGCCCACCTGACGGCAGCAGATCCAGTCACCGTGGCTGTAGGGAAAGGAGCCGTCGAGGTCTGTGGTCAGCTGGCAGCTGTCGACAAATTTGTGCAGGGCCTTCAGGGAGCTCACGACCTCACACTGCCAAGAAGAGGCACTCGTTGGTCATGGCTCCAGATGCATCTCTTGGGGGAAAACCCTGTAAATGGCTCATTCCTGGGTTCGGAGGATGGAGAGGCTGGCTCAGGGAGTATCGCCCCTGCTTTGCTGGAGGCACTGATAACAGCACCTGTCTGGTGCAGTAATGAAAGTGAGAAGACGGGAAAGCAGGGAGCAAAGAGGAATGAAGGAAAGGCCCTGGTGAAGAAAAATAAAAAATAAAAAAAACCAAAAAAAAAAACCGGGGGGGGGAGAAAGAAGGAAAAGGGAATGAATGAGTCAAGGCTGTTCTCCTGGTGCGGCAGAGGTGGCCCTTCTCAGATAAAACCCACAAACTCTGGACAAAATATAAGGACAGTTTCCTGAAAGCCCCAGCAGCCGAGACAAGTCAGGCTTATTGGGCTTATTGTGGGGGCACCTAACGCTTGCATGCGGGGCCAGCAGGGGCGAGTTCCCGCTGTGCTCCGTCCTCAGGGCCACTGCCAGCAGGAAGTGGCTGAGCTCCAACAGAAAACAGGCATCCTTTTGACAGCAGGTGGCTTTGTAAAACAAAAGAAAAAGAAAAAAAAGAAAAAGAAAAAGAAAGGAAAGGAAAGGGGCTGGGCACGGTGGCTCACGCCTGTAATCCCAGCACTTTGCGGGGCTGAGGCGGGTGGATAACAAGGTCAGGAGATCGAGAATATCCTGGCCAACATGGTGAAACCCCATCTCTACTAAAAATGCAAAAATCAGCTGGGCATGGTGGCATGCGCCTGTGGTCCCAGCTACTCGGGAGGCTGAGGCAGGAGAATCGCTTGAACCCAGGAGGTGGAGGTTGCGGTGAGCCAAGATCATGCCACTGCACTCCAGCTTGGCAACACAGAACAAGACTCTGTCTCAAAAAAAAAAAAAAAAAAAAAAAAAAAAGGAAAAGAGAGGGGCATCTGGCCGGCGTGGAGGCTCACACCTGTGATCCCAGCACTTTGGGAGGCCAAGACAGGCGGATTACTTGAGCCCAAGAGTTCAAGACCAGCCTGTGCAATAGGACAAAACTCCCATCTCTACAAAACAAACTACAAAAATTAGCAGAGCGTGCTAGCGCACACCTGTGACCCAGCTACTCAGGAGGCTGAGGTGCAAGGATCACCTGAGCCTGGGGAGGTCAAGGCTGCAAGTAGCCGTGATCACACCACTGCAATTCAGTCTCAGCAATGGAGCTCGATTTTATTTAAAAACATAAATAAAATATAAAAACAATAAGAAAACGGGCGTCTTTCTGGCCTGAAGAAACTTAGGAAACTTACAATCATGGCAGAAGGCAAAAGAGAAGCAAGGCACGTCTTCCATGGCACAGGTGAGAGAGACAGAGTAAGGAAGGGCCACACTTTAAAACCATCAGCTCTCATGAGAAATTCTCACTATCAGAACAGCATCTGCCCCCACGGTCCAGTCACCTCCCAGCAGGTCCCCCCCTCCACACGTGGGTATTAAAATTTGACAGGCGATTTGGGTGAGGACACAGAGCCAAGCCACATTAGTGAGCTTAACAGCTTAAGAGATGACAGAGTAAGGAACCAGTGACCCTAAGGACAGGATCAATAGAACAACCTGATCTGAAGACTAGAGAGGAAAAAAGTTAGAAAAAGACAGATTCTTAAGAGATCTGTGGGACAATATTAGTATACGCAATTGAAGTACTAGAAAGAGAGAAGAGAGAGAATAAAGCAGGAAAAAAAATTTTAAGAACTAGGCCAGGTACTGTGGCTCATGCCTACAATCCCAGAGCTTTGGGAGGCCAAGGTGGGAGGACTGCTTAAGGCCAGGACTTAGAGAACAGCCTGGGCAACACAGCAAGACCCTGTCTCTTAAAAAAAAAAAAGCAGCTTGGTGTGGGGGTGCACACCTTCAGTCCCAGTTACTCAGGAGGCTGAGGTGGGAGAATCACTTGAGCCCAGGAGTTGGAGATTACAGTAAGCTCTGATTGCACAACCACACTCCAGCCTGGGTGACAGAGCTAGATGCTGTCTCACGAAATGAAAAAAAAGAAAGAAAGAAGAAAGGAAAGAAAGAAAGAAAGGAAGAAAGAAAGAAAGAAAGAAAGAAAGAAAGAAAGAAAGAAAGAAAGAAAGAAAGAAAGAAAGAAAGAAGAAAGAAAGAAAGAAAGAAAGAAAGAAAGAAAGAAAGAAAGAAAGAAAGAAAGAAAGAAAGAAAGAAAGAAAGAAAGAAAGGCTAAAAAGGTCCTAAATGTGGTGATAGACATGAATTCACCAATTTAAGAGTTCAAGCCAGAACAGGATAATGAAGAAAACCAAGGCCACTCGCATGGCAGTCAGTTTGCTGTAAAGAAAGGAAGTACCTTGGAAACAGCCGAAGGAAAATTAACACACTTCATAGAGATGAACAGTGATCTGAATTATGATGAACTTTTCTTCTAAAATTATGGAGGCCAGAAGGCAACAGAGCAGTATCTTTAAAGTGCTGAGGGGAAAAGCAAAACTCCTCTCAAACCAGGATTCTAGATGTAACAAAAATATCCTTTCAGAATGAGGCCAAATGAAGATGTTTTCCGATAAAAGAGAACAATACACAGAAAGAGAAGGAAAGAAAACGTATGCGGTAGAGAAGAAGGTCACATTTTTAAGTTTTTCGTGGCATACTCTGCAGGGCTCCTGTAAGAACTTACGGGGTAGCAAGTAGGTTTCCAGGCTCCCACATGGATGCAATTAGAACTTATCTAAATTCTTTCATGTGTTTAATCTCATCTAGGTGCCTTAATGTTTAATTTTATCTATCACTCCAGATCCCACAGTCTAAACCATTACCTGAATTATTGCATCCTTGTCAGGCCTAAATGCAGATTCTTTATCTATCAACAGCAAGATACTATGAATTATAGGAGATGTGTTGTTCTGAAATAAATAAGAAATAAATATTACTGATTAGCTTTCTAATTTTTAACTTCATTAACAGAATTGCCCAATTTTGATTGGTACTACTTCTGTCATAAGTTTCTCAGAGTAACTACAGTGCATAAAACACAGTTGACTTTGCCCTGAAATGTAAATTATTTGCCCTTATGAATTTTAATGTAATCAGGTTTATTGAGGTATAATTTACATACAATAAAATTCACCCTTTTCAGTGAATAGTTCTGTAAGTTTTGATGAAAGCATAGTCATGTAATCATCACGACCATCAAGACAAAGAACTACTAAGCAACCCCAAAATTCTCTCGTGCCTCTTTGTAGTCAAGCCCTCCCCATGCCCAGCCCCTGGCAACCGCTGATCTGCTTTCACCTCCACCGACTTGCCTTTTCTAGACATAAACAGACTAAGGCAGGAGTGGCCTCTCTCACTTAGCGCTGTGCATTAGGAACTCGTCCCTGTATGGAGACTAAGGGTTCGTTCCTCTGTTTTGCTGAGCAGTATTCCACGGTATGCCTCACCACAATCTGTTCATCCATTCACCGGCTGAAGGATAACTGGGTTGTTTCCAGCTTTTGGCAATCGTGGGTAAAGTGACTATAAATATTGTGTGAACACAAGTTTTCATTTATCTTGGATAAATAAATCTAGGAGTGGGATTTCTGGCTCATGTGATAAGCACGTGTTTTCCAGAGTGGCTGTACCATTTTGCATTTCCATCAGCAGTACCAAGCATTTGTTATTGTCAAGCTTCGTTGCTGTTTCTGTGTGTTTCACTTTGGTTTTCAGTTGCATCTCCCCAGTGATTAATGATGTTGGGCAAATTTTCAGGTGCTTATTTGCCATCTGTGTATCGTCTTCAGGGAAGAGTACTCAAGCCTTTCCCATATTTCATTGGGTTGTTTTCTTATTACTGAGTTTTGAGACTGTATATACTCTATATACAAGTCCTTTATCGGATGTGTGTATTTTCAATTGTTTCATTGTGGCGAAACACTATTATCATCATTTTTCAGTGTACAGTTCAGTAGTCTTAGATACATTCATAATGTTGTGCAACCACCACCACCGTTCGTCTCCATAACTCTTTTCATCTTGTAAAACCAAAACCCTGCACCCGTTAAAGAAAAACTGTTCATTACCCCCTGCTCCTGGCACCAGGCAACCCCCATTTTACTTTCTGTCTCTGGGATCTGGGTTACTCTGAGTACTCTTAGAAGTGGAATGTGTGTCTTTTTGTGATTGGCTTATTTCACTCAACATGTCAAGATTCATACATGCTGTGGTATATGTCAGAATTTCCTTCCTTTTTAAGGCTGGATAATATTCCATTGTAAGGAGAGGCCACATTTTGCTTATCTATTCATCTGTTTATGGGTACTAAGGTTGCTTCTGTGTTTAGCTGTTACGAATAATGCTGCTATGAACATAGCTGTATAAGTATCTCTTTGAAACTCTGCTTTCAATTTCTTGGGTATATACCCAGATAGTGTTGCTGGATCATATGGTAATCCTATGTTACCTTTTTGAGGAATTGCCAAATTGTTTTCCACAATGAGTCACTATTTACTGTTCCCACCAACAGTGCGCAAGCGTTCCAATTTCTCCGTGTCTTTGCCAACACTTGTTGTTCTTTTACAATAGCCAACCTAACGCATGGGGAAGTGGTATTTAATTGAGGTTTTGATTTGAATTTCTCTAATCATTAATGACATTAAGCATCTTTTCATGTGCTCTTGGCCATGTATATATCTTCTTTGGAGAAATGTCTATTCAAGTCTTTTGTTCATTTTTGAATTGGGCAGTTTGGTTTTTGTTGTTGTTGAATTTTAGGAGTTATCTATATATTCTGGATATTAATCTCCTACCAGATACATAATTTGCCAAAATTTCCCCCCATTCTGTGGGTTGCCTTTTTACTCTGTTGATAGTGTCTTCTTATTTACTTGTTTTGAGACGGGGTCTCTCTGTCATCCATACTGGAGTGCAGTGGCATGCTCATGGCTCACTGCAGCCTTGACCTCCTTGGCTTAAGTGATCCTCCCACCTCAGCCCCTTAAGTAGCTGGGACTACAAGCATGCACCACCATGCTCAGCTAATTTTCTTTTTCATAGAGACAGAGTCTCACTATATTGCCCAGGCTGGTCCTGAACTCCTGGGCTCAAGTGATCCTCCTGCCTCAGTCTCCCAAAGTGCTGGGATTACAGGAAAGAGCCACCACACCTGGCTGGTAGTGTCTTTTGATACATAACATTTTTTAGTTTTTGAAAAGTCTGATTTGTCTTTTTTTTCTTTTGTTGCTGGTTCCGCTGACGTCATATCTAATAAATCGCTGCCAAATCCAATGTTAGAAAGTTTCTGCCCTATGTTGTCTTCTAAACATTTTTTAGTTTTAGGCCTTACAATTAGGTCTTTGATCCATTTAATTTTTTATATGGTGTTTAGGTAAGGATCTAACTTCATTCTTTTGCATGTGGATATCTAGTTTTTAAGCACCATTTGTTAAAAAAGATGGTCTTTTCTCCATTGTATGGTCTTGGTACCCTTTTCAAAACTCATTTATGTATATGATTGTTAGTTTCATGGCTTTCTCTTCTATTCGATTGTTCTATATGTCTGTTTTTAATGCCAGTGCCATACTTTTTTGATTACTGTTGCTTTGTAGTAAGTTCTGAAATCAGGAACTGTGAGTCCTCCAGCTTTGTTTTTAGTTTTTATAATTGTTTTGGCTAGTTGGAGTCCTTTGAGATTCCCTATGAATTTCAGGATAGGTTTTCCTATTTTGGCAAAAAATGTCAGTGGAATTTTGATAGGGATTGCACTGAATCTATATATCACTTTGTGTAGTATTGATATTTCAGTACAATATTAAGTCTTCCAATCCTTGAACATGAGATATCTTTCTATTTACATCTTCTTTCATTTCTTTCAGCTGTCTTGTAGTTTTCAGTGAAAAAGTCTTTCACTTCTTTGGTTAATTCCTAAGTACTTTATTCTTTTTGATGCTACTGTAAATGAACTGTTTTCTTAATTTCCTTTTCAGATTGCTCACTGTCAAGTATATAGAAGTGTGACTGATTTTTGTGTGTTGACTTTGTATCCTGCTACTTTGCGAATTAACTTATTTTATTTCTTTTTTTGTGGAACTGTTAGGATTTTCTGCATACAAGATCACATCATCTGGGAATAGAGATAATTTTACTTCTTCCTTTCCAGTTTGGATGCCTCTTCCCCCCACCCCTTTTTCTTGTCCAATTGCTCTAGCTAGAACTTCCAGTAATATGTTGAATAGAACTGGGCATTATTGCCTTGTTCCTGATTTTAGACGAGAAGATTTCAGTTTTTTGCCATTGAGTATGATATTTCCTGTAGATTTTTCATATGACCTTTATTATGCTGAGGTAATTTCCTTCTATTTCTTGTTTATTGAGTGCTTTCATGAAAGATGTTGAATTTTGTCAAGTGCTTTTTTTTGGCATCAATTGAGATGATCATGTGTTTTACCCCCTTCATTCTATTTGTGTGGTATATTACACTGATCAGTTTTCATGTCCTGAACCATTCTTGCATTCCAGGAACAAACTGTACTTGGTCAGGGTGTATAATCCTTTCAACCTGCTACTGAATTTGATTTGCTATTATTTTGTTGATGATTTTTGCATCGACCTTCATAAGGGATATTGCTCTGCAGTTTTCTTTAGTTTTAGTGTCTTTGGTTGGCTTTAGTATCAGGGTTATGCTGGCATCATAGAATGAGTTAGGACGTATTTCCTACATGAATTTCTTTTGAAAAAGTCAATGAGGAACTTACATGCTTGTAAAATATTGTATGGAAACTGAGTTTTGGCACTTCACACTGCGTCTACCTTGTGTTAGAGAAGTTAACTGAGCTTCAGAGCAATGCACTGTGAACCTTTTTTGGTGAATGCTAATAATAAACATATGTATTCTTTTTTCCACCCTGATGTCACTACCTTAGGTTTGCTAAGCAGGTATGGGCTCTTCCAGATTCCTCTTGTGCCCAGGTAACCTCTGGGTCAGCTTTGTTTCCTCCCCTAGAATCTGTCCCTTGACTGCCATTTCTTTGTCTAGGTGAAGCACAGACCACTGCCCAGGTGCCCAACTATGGACAGCTCATGCTCATGCTGTGGTGCAGGGCCTCATGTTCCTTTCTTGGAGGCCTTGAGAATCTCTCAGAACCTCTCTGATCAATGACTCCCCTAGCCCTGGGCCTCCCTGAGGCTTTCCTGACAGTGTCTGTGCACTGGGGACTCCAGTCTAGCCTAGCTGGTGCAACCCAACTCGTGGCACTTCCTGTCTGGACCTCAGCCTGTGCTCTCTCCTCCCAGTGACCCCTTCCTGACCTCGGGGAGTCACCTCAGCCCCTTGCCCAGCCTAAGGTCCCTGTCACTTGCTCCCAGGCCAACCGATTTCTGCTGGCCCAGCCACTCTGCCAGGCAGTTCTGGAGGATGCCACCACAGGACCCAACCTGAGTGGATCCCACTCTGTAAGGCGGGTCATGACTGAGCCTGTCTCCTCCAAGTCTCAGGTAGGACACTGAGATTTTCTAAGAAGAGCCACGTACTGCAAAAGTAAGAAGAAACCACAGGCAGGACTGACGGTAAGGAGAGAGACAAGAGGCAGGTTCACTCTAAGGCGAGAAGAGGCAGGCTCCATGCAAGAGGAGAAGTGTGGGGGAGAGAAGTGGTGGCAGCAGGGTGGAGAGAGAAGAGGGGAGACTGTGGCGGGGGGTAGGAAGGAGGACTGCAGGGTTAGAGGAGGGAGGACCGCAGGGTAGGGGGAGAGGATGGGGGGGCCACAGGGTCAGGGGAGAGAAGGGAGGACTATGGGGGAGGACGGGGGGAGATGAGGGAGGACTCAAGGGAAGAGGAAGGAGGACCGCAGGGTGGGGGGAGAGGAGGGAGGACTATGGGGGAGGAGAGGAGGGAGGACTGCAAGGGAAAGAGGAGGGAGGACTTTAGGTTGGGGAAGAGGAGGGAGGTCCACAGTGGGGACAGGAGGGAGGACTGTGTGGGCGGGAGGAGACAGGATCACAGGGGTGAATAGAAGGGAGGGCTGCAGGGTTAGGGAAGAGGAGGGAGGACCATAGTGGGGAGAGGAGGGAGGGTTACAGCATATGAGAGAGGAGGAACCACCATGGGGGTAGAGGAGGGAGGACCATGGAGGTGGAGAGGATGGAGGACCACAGGGGTGGGGGAGGACGGAGGGTCACAGGGTGTGGGAGAGGAGGGAGGGCTGCAGGGTGGAAGAAGAGGAGGAACGACTGTGGGGGTGGAGAGGAGGGAGGACTGTGGAGAGGGAAAGAAAGGAGTACCATGGGAAGGAAGAGGAGGGAGGACTGCAGAATGCAGGAGAGGAGGGAGGCCCATGGAGGGGGAGAGGAAGGAGGACTCCACGGTGGAGTGAGTTCTGCCAGCACTGTCCCTGACTGACGTCTTTCCTGGCACAACCCACCACCTGGTGTCCCTAAACTTGAGTTTCCTCAGTGAGTATAGGAGCCTCTGCCTCCATCTTCAGCAGGGACAGCAAGGGCGTAATGGGTTTAGCTTCGTGGAGTGCAGGTGGGGCATGGGAGAGGGCACCCCGGGTTCTGTCCCCGTCCCCTCCCTGTCCCTGTCCCTGGACCCCCCGTCCCTGGTCTCTCCCCATCTCTGGGCTCCCATCTGCCCCTGCTCAGGCAGTGGCATCTTCCCATCTGCAGTGCTTCCCATCTCCTCTGGATGTTGCTTATGGTTCAATGCAGGGCCCCTAGGCCATGCACGGTGGCTCATGCCTACAATCCCAGCACTCTAGGAGGCTAAGGTGGGTGGATCACTTGAGTCCAGGAATTCAAGACCAGCCTGGGCAACATGGCAAAACCCCATCTCTAGTAAACATATAAAAAATTAGCTGGGCATGGTGGCACACGCCTGTGGTCCTAGCTACTCGGGAGGCTGAGGCAGGAGCATGGCTTGAGCCTGGGAGTTTGAGGCTACAGGGTCCTGTAGCAATGGCACCGACCCTGTCTGGGGCTGCCAGGTTCGTCCCCACCCTGGTTTGTCCTTGCAGTGAGCCATGGCTGCCCCTTCCTCCTCTGTCCTTTGTCTGAAGGGCAATGCCGTGCCCTGCATCCTGGAGGGGCATAGCAGGGGCAGCCTACTGGGCAGGGATGGGGCTGTGCTGTCCTCCTGGGACAGGTGCCCCCCACCTGGGCCTGGCTGGCTTTGCTTTTTAGGTTTGCAGTTGCCCCCAGCATGGAGCTTCCCCAAGTCCCCAGTGGATGGGCCAAGCCCACCTTCCCGAGTGTTGTCTGTGTTCTGGCCCCGGAGAGCAAGAGCTGGACTCACTGGGAAGACCCCAAGAAGGAGGGGGCTCTGCACAGGGGCCTGTCTTGAATCTTCACACTAAGCCTATGGACTGGCTACTCCAGAACCACGATGTGGGCGGCCCCAGCGGCACACGGCCCCGAGATGCTCTGCACACCCAAGGGACGTGACGACCCTGCCGTACCTGCAATCCCGCGAGGGCCTGGGAGACGGCAGGGGCGGCTGGACTCCTGCGTGCGTCCACCAGGACGACCAGACCCAGGTCCCGGACCTCCTTCCTGGGGAGGGAAAGACAGCTGGTCTTAACCACCGAAGGTAAAATCTCTTACAAAAACGAGTTTCTCCACCTCCGAGACTAGTTGTTACTGGTTTCCTTTCAGCTCTAGAAGTTAGGGGTTCTCTATACACATCAGCCTTCCACTTCCTGAAGGTGCAGGCCCGTCGGCTGGAGGCACCACCGTTGTTCCTCTTGCTAACCCGCCAGTGACGTCAGTGTCTCGGCTGTGGGGCTGCGACTACTTTCCCCTAAACGCCCAGCCATGCTCCTGGATGGACGAAATGGGCTCTGCTCCATCAAGGGGGCAAGGACTTCAGGGCCTTCTTGCCCTCGTGTATTTGTTTGAGCTTTAACGTAAGCACAGAAGGTGATTCTGATGATTCTGATGGGATGTGGATGGCCTGTTCCCAAGACGGAAGCTTGAGATCAGTCATGAGGGTCTTTACTCTCCAGAGCCAAGCTAAGACTGTTAGAACACCTTTTAAAACTAAAAATACCATCACGTGGTTTTGAAAACTCCAATTTAAAAGTTTTGTCTCTGTGATTGTGACTGGAAACTTCATTCAAAATTTAATAGGAGAAAACAGTAGGTTGGGTGAGGTGATACATGCATTTTACAAAATTTTAGGGTTCGGCTGGTCTGAAGGGAGTGAGTTATCTCGTTTGATTGCTCACGCAGTTACAGATCAAACACCTTGTTCCACTCTTCCCCCCTTCTCACTACTACACTTGACTAGTCTTAAAAAATACATAGCCTGGGCCGGGCACAGTGACTCACGCCTGTAATCACAGCACTCTGGGAGGCCGAGGCGGGTGGATCACCAGGTCAAGAGATCGAGACCATCCTGGCTAACACAGTGAAACCCCGCATCTACTAAAAATACAAAAAATTAGCCGGACGTGGTGACCGGCGCCTGTAGTCCCAGCTACTCAGGAGGGTGAGGCAGAAGAATGGCATGAACCCGGGAGGTGGAGCTTGCGGTGAGCCGAGATTGCGCCACTGCACCCAGCCTGGGCAACAGAGCAAGACTCCGTCTCAAAAAACAAAAAACAAAAAACAAAAAACAACTATATATATAGCCTGGCGCTGTGGCTACCTGGGAGGCTGAGGCGGGAGCAGGATTGCTTTAGCCCAGGAGGTTGAGGCTACAGTGAGCTGTGATTGCACCACTGTGCTCTAGCCTGGGCGACAGCAAGACCCTGTCTCAAAAAAATAAAATAAAATAAAATAAATTGTGTGTGTGTGTGTGTGTGTGTTCTCCGAGAAACTTCTTCAGCTCTAATTCCAGGATTAACTCCCATTCTAATTAAGCTGTGTGTCTGGACACTGATCTTACAGCACTCATGTAGCCAAGGAAACAAGAGAACCCTGACTCAAAGCCGGGAGAAGCTGCACATCACACAGATGGCTGAGTCCTGGTCAAAAGAGTGAGTGTGCCCTCCCCGCCCCGTAGCCAGGTGTGTTTAATTTTGGGTGTCACTGGGAAGGATGCGTACAGAAGACAAGAAATGGTGTGTAGAAATCAAGGCTGGAAGCACGCGGGTGCTGACTGTTTTGAAAGATGAGGTTAGGAGAGGCAGAGTCTGGTCGTGGAAGCTGGCACCTCCCCGTGCCCCCCACTTTGCCACGCACATGCAGCTGGGGTCCCACGGGTCTGCAGGGTGGGGCCTGGCCCCCCGTCCCACCTGGGGATGCTATGGAAGTACAGCAGCAGTCGGGTCAGCTCGGTGCAGGACGAGTGTTCCCTGGTCCAGAGCGGGCTCCTGGTGCGGACCTGCACCACCGCTCTGCCCTGACGGTCTCGGGTCCCTGTGGAGAGAGACAGGGCAGCTGCCAAGGGTTTGACTCCCACGAGGTGATGAGCTGGGTCTGTGCTGTTGGCTTAGAGGTGAGATCCGCCCTGACAGGAGAGCCTGGTGTGTGCTCACCTGGGCAAGTGGCAGCCCATGCTCACCTGGGAGGGTGATGACCCCGGACTGCAGCAGCTCCTGGTTGACGTCCAGCACCCGCTTGGGCACCTGGCTGGGGAAGTCCCCTGTGCCCAGCGGCCACCCTTCTTGCTCAGGGCGTGGCTGCTGGGCAGGCGCATCGGAAAGCCCGCTGGGGTTGTGGCAATGGAGGCTGCCGCCGTCTGTGCTGACGCAGGCTGAGGACGCAAGAACGTCTGGACAAAGGAAAGAGGCCGTGTCAAAGATGAAAGTTTTCCTGCGTGTTGAAGGCAGCTGCTCTGCTCAGCTTGCTACGCACCACGGGACAGAAACACGCATGAAAATAGGCGGTTCCATGAGAACTTGTCCCAGTTCACGTGGGAAGTGAAAGCGTGTTCCACTGCACAGGGCACGCGGCGTCATCACGGAGACGCATTCTCCAGCTCACAGACAGCTCCCTACCTGCAGACCCCTCAGGAAGAACGGGTCATCTCATCCCTACTCATCTGCTCAAAGTGCAGCGTGTGTGACTGCACGCGGTGTGTGATTGCATGTGCGTGCGTGGTATGTGTAACTCGGGCACGTGTGATTGTGTGAGGCATGTGACTGTGTGGTGTGTTACTGTGTCTGGTATGTGGAACTCTGCTGTGTGTGTCAATCTGGAGAGTGTGATCATGTGAGGCATGTGACTGTGTGTGGTGTGACTGCATGTGTGATATGTGTAACTCTGGAGAGAGTGATCATGTGAGGCATGTGACTGTGTGTGGTGTGTGATTGCGTGTACACGTGTGTGCTATGTGGAACTCGAGCGTGTGATCGTGTGAGGCATGTGACTGTGGTTGTTACGGTGTGTGTGTGACTGCGAGGGGTGCTGCACGATTGTGTGTCTTCTCTGCCCAGTACAAATGGAAGAAAATCAATACAAAGGAAAGGTGAGGGGCTGGAAACCACGGGGGGGGGGGCTGGGACTTCTCACTTTAGCTGAATTGCAGTGAGGTGACAGAACACTTTCAGGAAGTGTTGCCCCAAGTGAGTACTTTTGTTACAAAAAAGCTCCTTCTGCAGTAGGTCCCGTGTGTGCGGCACTCTGGGAACGTCAGAAGTTCCAGGCACAGCAGCCTAACTTCGAAGGCGAAAGACCCTCGTGAGGTGGCTGGAACGGGCCGGGCCACACTTCTGTCTCCACGGGCCGTGGTGCCTCCGAGCCCCTGGTTAGGCCAGGCGGGTAGAGGGTGGGCGGCCAGGCGGCTGTCTCCAGGCACCGCAGCGGGCGGCCCACAGAGAGGAGGGCTCAGCCCGTCCATTTCCCGAGGTTGGGTGGCCCCGCTCGCTGGAGCCCACATCAGTATGTTCACATGTTTTCCTTCTTTCCAACATCACTGGTTGTGTTACTTACAGGCTATTTCTTTACTCAAAAAAAAAAAAAAGAAAAAGAAAAAGAAAAAGAAAAAATATTTGAAATACTTGATTTAAGAAACATGTTGTCATTCTTTTCTTGCTTTATGCCCTACAAACAGTCTTTAAATCGTCCCATTTTCTCTCCTAACCCTTGGAAACTGTGAATGTGGCCTCCAGTTGGAAACCGAGTCTGGGGATCTGGATGTGAGGTCGCACTGGGTTTACAGGGGCCCCGAATCCAGTCATGGATGCCCAAGAGCAAGAAGAGGGAGATTCGAGTCAGAGGCAAAGGGGAGGACGGTCAGAGTGCTGCAGCAACAGCCCAGGACACCTGGAGTCCCGGAAGCCGGAAGAGGCGGGTGGGTGCCCCTGGACCTCGGAGCGGGGACTCTGCCCACAGCTTGACGTTGGACTTCTGGTCTCCAGAACATGAGCCCAACATGAATGTGGAGACTGGCTTCTTGTGGATCAAGTGACCAAACAAAACTGTTACAGGGTGGGAGGGGGACAGCGCAGGGGGAGGCTGTGGGGGTGTGCAGGGGAGGGGGAACATGAGCCCCAACATGAATGTGGAGACTGGCTCTTGTGGATCAAGTGACCAAACAAAACTGTTACAGGGTGGGAGGGGGACAGCGCAGGGGGAGGCTGTGGGGTGTGCAGGGAGGGGTGGGTGTGCGGGGGAGGTGGGGGTGTGCAGAGGAGGTTGTGGGGTGTGCGGGGAGGGTGGGGTGCAGGGAAGTTGTGGGGTGTGCGGGGAGGTTGGGTGCAGGAGGCTGTGGGGTGTGGTGGGGGAGGTTGGGGGTGTGCAGGAGTGGGGTGGGGTGTGCGTGGGAGGGTGGGGTGCAGGGAGGTTGTGGGGTGTGGGTGGGGAGGTGCAGGAGGTTGTGGGGTGTGTGGGGGAGGCTGGGGTGTGCAGGGGATGGTTGTGGGGGTGGGGGAGGGTGGGTGCAGGGGAGGCTGGGGTGTGGGAGGCTTGGTGCACAGGAGGGAGTGGGGGCGTGCGGGGGAGGTTGTGGGGTATGCAGGGGAGGGGGTGTGGAGCATTTACCTTCCTCTTTGATGCAGCCGGGACCCTCTACTGGGACACAGTTTGGGGTCCCCACAGCTTGTCCTCCTAGGTGGCCCCCAGGCCTAGCACCAGCTGAGTGGTGGGAGGTGTGGCAGGCTGCAGCCTGGGCCCCTCTGGAGCTTCTGGGCGCCCTTTCCCGGGACCGAGACCTCCTGGGAAGGGTCCGCCCCGCGGCTCCTGGACCTGCCCGGCTGGGCGTGTGCCTCTCCTTCTCTAGACTCGGAGTCTGTTGGGGGTCTCCCCAGGTGCCAGAGGTTTCCTCCTGAGTCCCACTGGCTGCTGTCCCAGTCCCCGGGTCCCTGCTGGCTCCAGCCAGAGAGCTGCAGGCCGGGTCCCCGAGGGCCTCCTCAGAGCTGCCCAGGGGCATGGGGTTCCGCAGGGCCTCCATGTACGACTCCCTGAACCAGCGTCTAGGCTGCACACAACTGGAGTCCCCTGGCGGCCGCCTCCTGCTGCTCGGGATGTCCAGGTCTGTGTGGAAGGTGAGGGTCTTGGGGCCGTCCTCCTGGTTCATGGGGTCTGGCTTCTGCCCCAACTCCCCACAGTTCTCGGGGGGCATCCGTGGGCCCTGCTCTGAGGGGCTGACCTTTTCGAAGTCCCTGTCTGAGCTTCCAGACAGGGTCCGGGGCCTTCCCAGCTCAGCTGTTTCTGGGTAAGGAAGGTGCCTGAGCTGGTCGCTGCCCACACACCCTCGGCGGCAGGGTGGGGTCAGGGTGTCGGGGGAAGGGGTGCTTCCCTGGAAATGGGGGCCTGCCATGGCTTGGGTGGGGGCTGGGGCCTTTGAGGGGCTGCTGGGCAGTTGCTCGGGACCTGTGCAGCTGGAGCAGCTCTGCAGGATGGCTCCAGGGCTGGGGACAAAGACAGGGTTAGTGATGTCGCTCCACGGGGCTCGGTGGACAGCCAAGCCTGAGGTCAGCAAGCAGGTGTGCAGGGGAACGTGGCTCCGTTCCTGGTTCACCCACTCCAGGAACGCCCCCGTGAAGACACAGCCATACATGGCCTCAGGGATGGTGACTTCCTCTGTGCCCCTTCCCAGCTGGGACAGGCATTTCAAGACCAGTCTAGCTGACTGCTTCCCCGCCGATGTGACCTGCAGGTAGAAGTCTCCAGGCTGGAGCCGGACTCCGTGCAGGGACGCCAGCTGCACCACCACCTTCTCGTGGGCACACAGCGGCCAACCTGGGTGCAGGAAGACCAGACCCCTGTACCTGGCCTGAGACAAGAGAGAAAGGAGGTTACTGGTGGGCACGGCCATGGCCTGGGCTCTTCCGTGCCGTGGGTCTCCACCCTCAGGAGAAGGTCGGTGACTGAGCTCCCACAGGGAAGGCGTCTCACGGGGACTGGGATGCACTGTTCCTTGGAACATAAAACAGGTCATTAGGACTAGAAAAACCATAGGCTTCTCTTTGGTTCAGGGGTCAGTTATAAAAGCAATTGTATAGTTCCACCTGGAGGCTGGGGGTAGGTGGCAGGACAGGGGAGAGGAGGCTGCTCGAGGGTCACAGCCAGAGCCCACCAGGCGCTCTGAAGGGTGAGTTGTCCCTCAGAGTGGTCCCAGCCTGGGCAAGGGGCCGGGCGCCCACACTTGCCAGCCCTGGTCAGGACCACCCTAAGGGGGGCTCCCTCCTCTGCACTTCCGGTGTTCCCTGCGGCTCCCGGCCGCTGCGGGCGCTACCTCGGCCTCCTCAGCGAGGAGTGCGGGTGCCAGGATGCTGGTGAATTTCACTTCAGAATTTTCTCCATTCCCTTTAAATGGCTGAGATCCCACTCCATTTACAACTGTGTACTTTAGCTATTTGCACCCAGCGTGATTTCACGAGCATTTCCTGTGCTGTTAGAAGCTGCAGACAGATCACGTAACTGTTGGGTATTTATTTTCCCCAAACTGTGCTCTGACAAACTAAAATACAGTAAACATCTTGGGGCCTAGAGCCCCGCCTGGGTTTCAGTTGCTTCTGCAGAATCTTATACCAAGTTCATGCTCAACCTACCCACCAATCACGTTTTGCACTGGTAACAAACAGGCCTGAGATGTTAGTGTCTTTTCTCATTCGCAGCTCAGCTTTACTACGCTGGCCTCAGGGACTCCACGGAAGTCACAATCCCAGCTTTCCAGAATGGCAATAAAAATGCACTGAACACTTGAAAGTGCATTTGCCACTGAAAGGGACACATATTCAGATGGTGAAAGGTTATTCTCAAAAGCCTTTTTCTAATCATTTTCATCTATGGGCTTGAATTCTTGGAATGTGAAATCGAGTATGACCATCCTAGGTGGCTGAGGGAGGTGAAAACAAGTTCCTCAACTTTTATCAGAATTTAAGCTCAAACTTCACTCAAGGGGAGGGTATACTGAACAGGGGCATAAAACGGAGCCATCATTGATATGGCAAATCTGACTTAAAGAATGTAAAGTTACACCCTCATTTCAGAAAATAACCTGAATAGGTGAAAGTAAAGTAATGCAGAAAACTAGAAAATATTCATCTACTTCAGAGGGAAGAAATTAGCTGGGGGGGGATGGGGGGTGCATCCCAGGGTCTTCTGTGAGCCACTGGCAAATCCAAGTGGTCATTTAATGGTCTGATGTCAGGGCGGGCCCTGGAGCTGCTGCACTCCAGACCCACAGTCCATGCAGACATCGGCCCACCCAGTTTTCAGAAACGTCTGGTGTTCCTCACCTTGGTGAGCAAGCCATTCAAAAAGCAGCTCCTTGACACCCTCCCAGGTGCTGCGAGGCAGCTTGTCTGAGGAGCTGTGTCCTGGGCTGGACGCCTGGTGGGGCCACCTCCGTCCCCTCCACAGGTTTCACCCCAGAAGAGACAGGTACCTGCTGGTCCATGAGGACCTCCCTGAGTCTGACCCCAGAGCCCGTCCCCGATCCTACTGCCTGGCACAGCTGTACTAGTGCCCAGGACACGTTCCCGTGGAGAGGTGATTTGATGTAAAATGCACAACTGTTGAAAAAATCATTGTGACTTGTCCTTGTAATTGCACTACCAGATTTTTTTCAGTGTTAGGAAACAGAAGTGGGAGGGTGTTGGAGCCTTGCATGTCTTTTGCCCTCCCATAGGGTCTACAAGTCTCTACATATCAAATACTTGATGAGACAAACCCTATTTCCAACATGCATAGGGTTTCTTCGCTGTGGAAGGAACTGGTCCGGGTTAAGGCAGTGGCACAGCCCAGAGCAGGAGGGAAGTCAGAGACTGTGGGGAGGAGGGTGTGTGTGCACGTGTGAGTGTTAAAACAGATACAATGTGAAGTTCACCAGCATAACCATGATTACGGGGTACAGTTCAGGGGCATTAAGTACATTCACACAGTTATGTAACTATCATCACCAGACCTTTCCATCTTCCCAAACTGAAACAGTGAACCCACCAAACACCAGCTCACCATTCCCCTGCCCCTGAGCCCCCGGTACCCACCATTCCACTTCCTGTCTCGATGAATTTGACTCACTACTTCCACAAGTGGAATCATCCAACATTTGTCCTTTCAGTACTGGCTCCTATCCGTTGGCACAGTATCCTCGAGGTCTATCCATGCCGCAGGTAGCACGTATTGGAACTGCACTCCTTCTGAGGGTTGCATAATATTCCACTGTGTACACACACTACACTTCGTTATCCATTCATCCACAGCGTTGCACAATATTCCATTATGTGTACACACTACACTTAGCGTTGCACAACATTCCATTATGTGTACACACTACACTTCATTATCCATTCACCCATCCACAGCGTTGCACAATATTCCATTATGTGTACACACTACATTTTGTTCATCCATTCACCCATCCACAGCGTTGCACAATATTCCATTATGTGTACACACTACACTTCATTATCCATTCACCCATCCACAGCGTTGCACAATATTCCATTATGTGTACACACTACATTTTGTTCATCCATTCACCCATCCACAGCGTTGCATAATATTCCATTATGTGTACACACACTACACTTCAAGTTATCCATTCATCCACCCACAGCATTGCACAATATTCCATTATGTGTACACACTACATTTTGTTCATCCATTCACCTGTATCCACAGCGTGCACAATATCTTGCATTATGTGTACACACTACACTTCATTATCCATTCACTCATCCACAGTGTTGCACAATATTCCATTATGTGTACACACTTACATTTTGTCTATCCATTCACCCATCCACAGCGTTGCACAATATTCCATTATGTGTACACACTACATTTTGTTCGTCCATCCACGAACACTGGGGTTGTTTTCACCTTTTGTCTATTGTGAATAATGCTGCTATCAACACAGGTGGACAAATACCTGTTTAAATCCCTGATCTCAATTCTTTTGGGTAGGTGCCCAGAAGTGGAACTGCTGGATCACAGGGTGATTCTGTGTTCACTCTTTTGAAGAAGAGTTTCCACAGCAGCTGCACCATTTTACGTCATCACCAACCATGCACAAGGACCCCAATTTCTCCACATTGTTGCAAGCACTTGTTTCCCAGTGGTGTCTTTCCTTTAACAGTAGCTATCACCATGGATGGGAAGTGGTGTCTAACTGAGGCTTTGATTTGTGTTTCCCTCCTGATTAATGATGTTGAGAATCTCTTCACGGGCTTATTGGCCACTTGTATATTTGTTTTGGAGAAATACCTGTTCGGCCCTCTACCCGTTTTTGATTTGCATTATTTTTGTTGTTGCGCTTTTGGAGTTCTTCATTCATTCTGGACATTAATCCCTTATCAGATACACAATGTGCAAATATTTCCCCCATTCTGAGGGCTGCTTTTAGACTGTGTCAATAATGGCCTTTTTACACAATGGTACCCTTTTTAAAAATTCGATGAAGCCTAATTATTTTTCACTTTTGATGGTTGTGCCTTTGGTGTCATATCTAAAAAATCTTTGCCAAATCAGATGTCACAAAGCTTTTCCTCTATGTTTTACTCTAAGAGTTTTATAATTTTAGTTCTGACATTTAGGTCTTTGATCCATTTTGAGTGAGTTTTTGTAAATGGGGTTTAGGTAAGGGCCCTACTTCATTCTTTTGCATGTGGATACCCAGTTTTCCAAGCACCACTGATTGAAAAGACTGTCTTCCCCAGTGAGTAGTCTTGGCACCTGTAGAACATCACTTAGCCATATACGTGAGGGTTTATTACTGGGCTCTGTACTCCATTCCACTGGTCTATGTGTCTGCTTTTATGCCAGTGTCACACTGCTTTGATTACTGTAGCTTTGTGCTAAGTTTTAAAATCAGGAAGCGTGAGTCCTCCAACCTTTTACCTCCTGTTCAAGATTGTTTTGGCTATCTGGGGGTCTCCTGAGATTCCACATGAGTTTTAAGATGGGTTTTTCTATTTCTGCAAAAAACACCATTGGGACTTTAATAGGATTGCACTGAATCTGTAGATCACTTTGGATAGTACTGACATTTTACTATATATATATATATATATTTTTTTTTTTTTTTTTTTTTGAGACGGAGTCTTGCTTTGTTACCCAGGCTGGAGTGCAGTGGCGCGATCTCAGCTCACTGCAAGCTCTGCCTCCCAAGTTCATGTCATTCTCCTGCCTCAGCCTCCCCAGCAGCTGGGACTACAGGCGACTGCCACCATGCCCAGCCAATTTTTTTGTATTTTCAGTAGAGACGGGGTTTCACTGTGTCAGCCAGGATGGTCTCGATCTCCTCACCTGGTGATCCACCCGCCTCGGCCTCCCAAAATGCTGGGATTACAGGCGTGAGCCACCGCACCCAGTCTATTTTACAATATTAAAGTCTTCCAATCCATGAACATGGGATGTGTTTAAAATTATTTACATCTTCTTTAATTTCTTTCAGCAATGTTTTGTATTTTCAGTGAACAAGTCTTTTACTTTTTTAGTTAAATTTATTCCTAGGTATTTCATTCTTTTTAATACTATTATAAATGAAATTTTTTTTTTTTTTTTGAGGTGGAGCTTTGCTCTGTTGCCCAGGCTGGAGTGCAGTGGCACGATCTCAGCTCACTGCAAGCTCTGCCTCCCGGGTTCACACCATTCTCCTGCCTCAGTCTCCCCAGTAGCTGGGACTACAGGCGCCCGTCACCATGCCCAGCTAATTTTTTATATTTTTAGTAGAGACGGGGTTTCACCATGTTAGCCAGGATGGTCTCGATCTCCTGACCTGGTTGTCCGCCTGCCTCGGCCTCCCAAAGCGCTGGGATTACAGGC